CCCAGACAGAGACTGTGATCCCCATTATATGGATGGAGAAACTGAGGTCTCAGAAGGGAGTGCAGGGGCCGGAGCCAGAACCCAGTCCTTCTTGCCCTAGCCTCTCCTTCTCTCCCACCCCTCCTATTCTGGATGGAGCACTTACCATGCGCCAGGCACTGTGCCAAGCACGTTACAGGTGAAATCACGTGTAAGCCTCACCACTCCATGAAGCAGGCACTGTTCTCTTCCCATTTGACAAGTGAGGAAAACGAGCCTCAGAGAAGTTAAGAAACTTGCCTAAGGTCACACAGCCAGGAAGTGACATGACCAGGCTTTAAACCCTGTCTGCCCGATTCCAGAGCTCTTTCCACGATACTGCGTTTCCCTTCTATCTTTTTAGAAGAGGAAGCACACACAGTGGACCAATGGTCGGGACAGATGCCAAGGGCTGTGCCCAATGCCTGTGACAGCTGAGCTCCAGGCCCTCCCAAAGCCCTCACACCATTGCCTTTTGTCTTTTAGGGACTGAAGCCCATGGACTCCAATGGCTTGGCCGATCCCTACGTTAAGCTGCACCTCCTGCCGGGAGCCAGCAAGGTACCATATGGCCTGGGCCTCTCAGCAAGCCGGGCACATAGGCCTTGGCAGGCACGCAAGGTTCCCAGCCCAGAGCCTAAAATAGCCCTATCTGCCCCCCAAGTCCCCCTCCTCCTCCAGTGGCAAAGTCCTTGCAAAGGAAGAGGGGTGGCCACAGGTCATTCTCCCTCAAGGGACAGGGGCTCTTTCCATTTCTCCAGCCCAGAAACCTGGGATTGGGGAGCTGCCAAAGGCCAGGAAAGAATCAGATGCCCCGATTTTGCCCTTCACCGGCTCCAGTACCTTCAAGGGGCTCCCCAGTGCTGACCATCACCCCCCCTCCCACCCCTCCCATTTTATGCCCCAACCAACCACTCGTCATCTCTCAATAGAAATGAATACTGTCTCTAGATTTCAGGGCCAAGCACGCGAGATCATGTTCTCTCACTGAGAGAAAAGATACCCCCGTCCCACCCACTTTCTCTCCTCTTCCAGCTCACCTGCCAATCATTCCTTTGCTCTGGGGAGGAGAAAGTGGGGTTGGCTCTCCTCGCTTGAGATTGACCCACTCAGAGCCTGTGGCTGGAAAGCGTGCCTTCTTGGGTTTTACTTTTTGCTTTGTTTTGTTCATTTGGCATGGATGTCCGAAATACAAGGGTGACTGTGCATGTGGTTCCATGATCTTGGGAAAATGCTTGTTAAAAAATCTCTACAAGTATCAAATGCCCCCTAAGACAACAGAGGACACACACACACACACACACACACACACACACACACACACACAGTCTCGTGGCCATGGCCAAACTGAAAAATGGTTGACCACTCCTAACTCCCCTGTGACATTTGCTTCTCTTTGAGACTCTCTTCTTGACTCACTCCTAAATTCCAATTTGCTTTGCCAAAGAAGCCAGTGAGTCATTTACATGTTAGTCTGAATTAGATTTGCCACCAGGTCACCTCTTCCAGTGACATCACAGAGTAAAATGAAAACTTCTGTTCCCTCTAAGGAATTTCAGGCATAGAGGATGCTATCTGGGTCAACAGATGGAACCCTCCTGATATCCCCACAAGTTGTTCCTTCACTGCCTAGGAGTGGGCGACTCTCATTTCTGCCTCTTTAACCTAGAAATGATTTTTTTTCTCAAAGAAAGATGTCTCTACTTTTATGAGCTTAATGGAAAGTTCAAAGAGAGAGCCCAGTGCATGGAGGGAGGGTGGCCCAGTGTCCAGCATGGCGACGTCTGTAGCCATCAGCCTAGAGGACAGACCCCACCACCACCACCACCTTACTCCCTGAGTTATGCATTTGGGAGCAACTGAGCCCCTGGATACTCCTAAGGGGAATGACTCCTAAGTCACTCCTCTACCCCAAATCAGCCCAAAAGATAGGGGGCTGCAGGGCTGGCTCCCCACTGAGACAGGTATCTGTCTGTCTGTCTCTCTGGGCTCTAGTCCAACAAGCTTCGGACAAAAACCCTGAGGAACACTCGGAACCCCGTCTGGAATGAGACTCTGATCTATCATGGCATCACGGACGAGGACATGCAGAGGAAAACCCTTAGGTACCCACTGGGCGGGTGGGCAGAGAGGGGGCTGAGGCTGGTGGATTGGGTCACTCTTTACAGCATCTCTGCATAGCTTTTCTTTTTTTACTGCTACAAAAGCAATATATATGTCTGGTAGAAACTTCTGAAACTACAGATAAGTGAAACTTTTAACATCTTGGTGTCTAGACATGTGTGTGTGTGAGTGTGTGTGTGTGCGTGTGTGCACACAAACGTTTTTTATAAACTTGAGTGTTTATAAAGATGGACCATCCTATTAATCAGCTTTACTTAACAATAGGTTGATGCCATTTTATATTCTTCTACGATGTTGTCTTGCACTGCATTTTTAATTAATATAAGCAACACATGAATACATTTTTCTTGTAAAAAATTATAGAGAAGGCAAAACCCTTTTAATGTTTCGCGTCTGCTTCCTCCTTCCATGAGTGTAAGCATATGCAGACTATTGGAAAGTACCATACTGTATGTATCTGGTATTTGCCTTTTTTCTTCACAATGCATCTTGGAGGGATAGCCATGAGAAGACATTGAGAGCTACCTAGTTTTTAACTGTTTCAGTGTATTCCACAGACTAGATTGGTCACAGATTTTTAAAAATGTTTCATTATTACCTATTACAAATATACAGAGAAGGACAGAATATAAAAATAAAAAAAATCCATGAACCCAGTACTCAGCGTTTTTTAAAAAATCTTAATACTTGGCTATATGTGCGTCAGCTCTTTTTCTTTATTCAAAGAATAAATCACTACAAATGCAGTGGAAGCTCCTCTTGTATACTCTGTCCCCTGTCTCCTTCTTATCCTCCGCTCCCCAGGGCTAAACGCAACCCTGAATTTTAGGGGTGTCATCCCCAAGCATGCCTTATACTTCAGCTATGTAATTATGTATCTATAAACAATATGTGGTATTGTTTGGCGTGTTTTAAAATTTTCTGGGACTGTTGACCAGTTTCTCCAGCCAGCTCCCTATGGACGGACATTTAGGTTGCTGCCAGCTTTTCTCTATCACAAAGTTGCAACGAGTATCCATCCGTCTTGCTTCCTCCTGTTCATAGGAGTGTTTCCTGAGGATAGAAAGAAAGGAGGAATATTTGCTGGATCGTAGGATATGTGGGTTATTTTATTTTTTTAATTTTACAAGTTATGCAAACTGCTTTCCAAATTGGCTGTTCCGACTACATGTCCAACCAGCTACAATACTATTTTTTAAATGTTTTGTCTTATTTTTCTCGGGTTTCCTTTTTTATTTTATTCTTTTATTTTTTTGTCTTTCTTTTTTACAACCCTGTTTTAAGTAAACCTTTTTATTGCAGTGGAGCATCCAATTTAGAAAAATGCACACATAAAAAGGGTTTCCGGGGGCAGCCGGTTAGCTCAGGTGGTTAGAGCACAGGGCAAAGTGCTGATAACACCAAAGTTGCCGGTTCGATCCCCACATGGGCCACTGAGCTGCACCCTCCACAATTAGATTGAAAACAACTACTTGACTTGGAGCTGATGGGTCCTGGAAAAACATACTGTTCCCCGATAGAATTTTTTTTTTTAAAAAAAGGGTTTCCAATGGATGAATTGTCACAAAGTGAACACACTGGGATCAGAGGACAGAACTTCGCCAGACCACAGAAGGCCCCTGAGTGCCCCTTCCTCTCCAACGAGGACCCCTCCTCCAGGGGATTCACGATCCTGACTTCTAACAGGACAAATTAATTTAGTCTGGTTTTGCATTTTATAGCAATGAAATCATACAGCGTGACTTTTGTGTCTGTTGTCTTTCACTTAGTATCATATGTGTGATATTCATGTTGTCATGTTGTGTAGTATAGATCATGTTCATCGCTATGTAGTATTCCATTGTGTGAGTGTACCACAATTTTGTTTATTCTACTGTTAGTGGGCATTTGGTTGGTTTTCCCTCGGGGGCTGTTAGAACAGGGCTGCTAGGAACATTCTAGTAGCGGTTTCTTGGTGCCCAGGTGCACACATTCCTGCTGCATATGTACTTTGGAGTGTAAGGGCTGAGTCCCAGTGGACATATATGTTCAGCTTTGGTAGAAACTGCCAGCTTTACAATCCATAGAGATTGTACCAATTTCCCCTCCTACCAGCAAATAGGTGAGAGTTCCGGTTTCTCCAAATCCTCACTGGGGCCATTGTGGTGGGCGTGTCGCGGTGTCGCACTGTGGTTTTTGCATTTCCCTGAGGACTAATCCCAACATTATTTTCCATGAACACTGTTACGTTTTTAGAGTTATTTCAGAATTGTCTTAAGAAGTCCCCGTTATAGAACCTCGATGTGATTTCTGCTTTTCCACAATGATACACAATACTGCGATAAACATCTCTGTAGTTCAGTACTTTCTCACACTTCCCTTCTTATGTCTGAGATAAATTCCTAGCGGTAGCTTTACTGGGTCAAAAATGCTGATTATTCTTAAGTCTCCGGACACATGTTGCCCTGTAGAAGGCTGGTGCTGATTACACCCCACCAGCGGAGGCAATTTCTTTCTCCAGTCATGTGCAGTGGGGCGCTCAGCCGTGAGGGTGTTCTGGCCCCCCAAAACTTTGAACATTGTTCAACAAATGCTGATGGCCAAGGAGTCAGGTGTCATGAGTCCCTGCCTGTCCCACAGATGGCCTCCCATGCTTTGGGAAGGACAAGTCCTTTCTTTGCCTTAGTATATGTCAGCATAAATTATCATGCCCTGACTGGTCTTTTTGGCCTCCTGAGGGGCCTTTCTCCTGACCTACCTACCTTTCTGTGCCTCTGTGCTACTCAGTGCTGTGCAAAGTGGACAACAGAAGACAATGTAGTGTTTTAGGATGAGGGAGACCCGGATTCAAATCCTCTTCCTGTCGTTTATTACGGAAAAATAACTCAACCTCTTTGGACCCCCGTCTCCTCTCTCAAGTGGGAAACTCAGATGTTTGCGAGGAGAGGGCAGGAAAAATTAAACGAGGACAGGTCAGCTAAGTTCCTAGCCTACCTTTGCAAAAGATGATGCTCAGATGGCCATCAAGTGTATGAAAAGGGGGCTCAACTTCATTAACGATCAGGGAAATGTAAATTAAACCTACAGGGAGACACTGTGGCCCTGTCAGAAAGGCTACAGTTAAAGGCTGATGAAATAAAAGTTGGATACAATGAAGAACAACCAGAACCTGCATTACTGCTGGTGGGAGGGTAATTGGTGGAAACACTTTGTGTCGAGGAGTTTCTACTGAAGCCAAATGTATGTGTCGTCCACAACTCAGCAATTCCACTCCTAGGAAGACACCCAATCGAAATACAGTGGACCCTTGAACAACCTGGGTTTGAACTCCACAAGTCGACGTATATGCAGATTTCTTTTCAATAAATACTGTAAAGATATTTTCTCTTCCTTATAATTGTCTGAATAACATTTCCTTTTCTATAGCTTACTGTACTGTAAGAACACAGTATTATAATACATACAACATACAAAATGTGTGTGAATCTACTGTTTATGTTATCGGTAACAGGAGGCTATTAGGAGTTAAGTTGTTGGGGAGTCAAAAGTTGCACGCGGATTTTCGACTCTGCAGCGGGTCAGTGCCCCTAACCCCTGCGTTGTTCAAGGGTCAACTGTCCATACACGTGTGTATGAAAAAAACATGACATGAATGTTCCATTGCAGCTTTATTCACAATAGCTCAAAACTAGAAATAGCTCAAAACCACATGCCTATCAGTAGCAGAATTATTAAGAGTATATTTACACAATGGAATGCTATACAGCACTAAAAAGGAGAAATTACTATACACATGGATGAATGTCATAGACAACGTTGAGCAAAAGAAGCCATCTGATTCCATTTATATGAAGGTCAAACACAGGACAATGAATCCATGGGGCCAGAAGTCAAAGTAGTGGTTATCTTTGAATGAGGTAGTGACCAGCAGGGCTCACGAGGGTCTCCTGGGAGCTGGAATGTTCTGTATCTTGATCTGGGTGGTGGTTACATCAGTGTATACATAGGCAAAAATTCAGCAAGCTGTAACTTTAAGATGTGTGCACACACTGCTTGTAAGCTATACCACAATAGAGAAGAAAAAGTATCCGGCTTAGTTTCCAATGAATAGGAAACGAAAATGTCCCTATGCAACATTACACATTCCTTGCCAGCATCCATCACAGCTCTTGGTACACAGACGGAGCTCAATATATGCCCCTTTTTTTCTCTCCCCACCCTGTTTTGTGGGTCTCAGGATCTCTGTCTGTGACGAGGACAAATTCGGCCATAACGAGTTTATTGGAGAGACCAGATTCTCACTCAAGAAACTGAAGCCCAACCAGAGGAAGAACTTCAATATCTGCCTGGAGCGAGTGATTCCTGTGAGTGCCTTTTCCTGAGGGCTCCACGGGGGAGGAAAGTTGGGAGGGTGCTGCCTTCCTCTGGGCCTGCAGAGGGGGTGGCAGATCTGCAGGGTGCCACACAGCAGAGGGGCCATGGCAGCTGTTGAGAGGAGGGTGAAGATTTCAAGTCAGGACATCAGGTTGCACCCCAGCCAGGCTTTTACCAACCAGGTGTTAACATCACTTCTCTGAACAACAAAGTCCTCTTTGGCGAGACCAGGAAGGGCAGTGTGGCCTGCCTGGGTTCGAAGTCCAGCTCCGCCATGTCCCCGCTCCCTGGCTTTGACCTCTGAGCTGTTTTAAATGTCCGTTTTTCTTGTCTATAAATGGGCTTTATATAACATTACCTGCCTCGTGGGAGGGTTGCTGAGAGCCATAATCAGAACAGAGCCTAGGACATCATAAGCACTGCTCAATTCTTTTTTTTTTTTTAAAGATTTTTTTTGGGGAATTGGGGGGATGGGAACAGTGCTGGGGAATTGGGGGAAGGGGAACAGACAAGTTGCTGTCGTTTTGTTCTTCAATCTAGTTGTGGAGGTTGTTGCTTCACTGGCCCAAGTTGGCACCATCATTGCGCTCTTCCCGGGCGAGGCAGATCAGTCGCCGGCTTCTGGACGGCCACTCACTGCGGCTGCTGGCCGCTCACGCTGGCTGCTGGCTACATACGGTAGCCCATGGCAACCCACTGCCACAGGGAGTGCAGCCTACGCCATCGCCGGCGACTCACAGCAGCCCAGCTCCAGGTTGAGCTGTTGTTCAGCACCTTAGCTGTAGAGGGCAGTGTCACTGGCCCTCATATGTGGGATCCGAACCGGGGTCCTCTGGCATCCCAAGCCAGTTCTTAACCATCGCGCCACTCGGCCGGCCCAGCACTGCTCAATTCTTAACCGTTGTTATTCTAGGAGTAATGCTGCCTTACCCGCCTGTCAGTCACGGAGTCAAAGCACCACACAGATTAGCAGGAGGCAGGATAGCTCAGTGCGGAGGAGCACCCGCTCTGGAGCCAGCATCCCTGGGTTTGAATCCTGGCTCTGCCACTTGTTGAATAACTTGGCGCCAAATTACTAAACGTCTCTGGGCCTCGTTTCCTCGTCTGTAAAACAGGATAAGAGTACCAATCTCATAGGGTCTCTTAAGGGTTCGTGTGAGAGTACTTACAAAGCATTGGAACTGTTAATGTCAGATGTGATACTTGCCTTTTGAGAAAGAACAAGAACCAAATTGAGGTTCTCCAACTGGGCCCTGAAACCACCAATATGGCTGCTGCCCCTGGGCAGCGGGCCAGCTCCCCATGGGGAAGCCATGGCGCGCAGGAGGGGAAATTCTGCAGCATCCTCCCAGCAGATGGCCGGCCCGAGGACGGAATATCCGTGTGCCCTGCCATATTTGTCTAGCACAGGTGAAGGAATAAGACAGAACAAGGAAAATTGCAGAGAAGAATTTATACCCAATGCCGGGCTCCCCATACGTCATGGAAGGCAACCCTGGGAGCGGAGCATTTCCTCTCGGTCTCTTCCTGATAACAGCTGGCTCTTCAGGCTTCCTCTTCTTTCCCTCGCTCAATGAGTCAGGACCGTGCCCAGGCCTCCCTCCGCCTGCGTCATCAGCTCTTAGGCCCGCCCATCTTGCTGTGACGACGCAGCCAGCCCCAGAGGCACGGAGGTGGCAGTTCAGGCAGAGGCCTGCAGGGGGCCACAGAGCTCTACTAATCGTCATCTTTTGCTCTTTGCCTTTAGTCCTCCCACCAACTCCCCGCTATGCCCCACCAAGGACAGGGCCTGCCTCAGCGCTGTCCCTTCCCCTCTTGACCTCTGTTTTCCTCAGGTCTCAAGTGGGAGGTCGTATTGAACCAGTGGTTTTTACACTGTGTCCCCCAGAGCCTTAGACCCCACAAAAAAACCCCCAAAACCTTAGGATCCATTGGGGGAAGAAGTATCTGGATTCTAGACCCAAGGCCCCTGTGCCATTTCAATCAGAGATGATCAAATCCTATTGTTCTGTGTATAGGGTGCTCTGTCACTTATAGGCTGTGTGACCTTGGGCAAGTGGCTTAACCACTCTGACCCTCAGCGTCTTCATCTGTCAAATGGGGATAGTAGTAATACAACCTATCTTGCAGGCTGTGTGCCTTAACATAGTCTGTCAAATGGTTAGCGCCGTATACATTGTAGCTGAAAGCGGGTAAGCTGGAGAGCTACAGAAGCTGGGAGAGCCTGCCCTGTGGCTCTGGAGGCTGATGGAGGGATGAGGGGCTCCTGGTCCTTCCTGTGTAGGGAGGTGAGCCCCACAGACAATCCTCTCTCTCCTTTCTGTTTCCTTCTAAGATGAAGCGTGCCGGGACCACCGGGTCCGCCCGAGGCATGGCCCTTTATGAGGAGGAGGTGAGCACGGCGTGGGTATTGAAGCCACCGCAGTTGGGGCCTGGCATCCCCCTCTTCTCCCCCTCCCTGTCCCCATCTCTACTGTTTCTCCCAGAACCGCCTGCCTGTTGGTTCCATGAGAGCCACCCTTGCCCAAGGCATTAGGACTTGAGATCAGGTGGATGCCCTTCACACCCGGAGCCCGAGGTCGGGGAATCCCCATCCTCTCGCGCCCAGGACACCCTTGACGTCCTCGGCCTTGTGGGCAGAAGCTCTGCTGGCGATTCTGCAGGATTAGAGCAATGCCACCGCCCCCTCCATGGGGACGTAGGGGGTGCTCTTGGAGCTGTGTGTCTAGCCGAGGCTGGGGCTTGGGCTACACGTCCATGCCCAGGTCTCTGTGCGACCCCAGGGATGACACGTGTGAAAAGACTGGTTGGGTCAAGGAAGTCTGAGCTTAGAATTAGGGATTGGGCTGGGACCAGAGTTAAGGCTCAGTCCTGGGTCAGGGTTGGGTCAGTCGGTGATCCGCTTCCAGCTCAACCTATGATCAGGGTCAGGGCTCAGTCCGTGTCTAAGTTAGAGTCAAACCACTGGCCCCATGTGCCTTGAACTGGTCCCCTTCGCAATTACCATTTGCCCCTCCCTGGAAGTGGGGTCGGGGGGAGGGGGCGTTTGGGCGGTCGCGTCTGCTGTCCATGGTGCTGATTTCACAAGCAATGGCAGAGTTCCTCTTTCCATAGACTCTTCCCTAATGAGCCCACCCACGTTGCCCGGCCCCCTCCCCTTCCTAGGCTCACATGCCCTCTTCTCCCACTGCAGCAGGTGGAACGTATTGGTGACATAGAGGAACGAGGCAAGATCCTGGTGTCCCTCATGTACAGCACACAGCAGGGTGGCCTCATCGTGGGCATCATACGTTGCGTGCACCTGGCCGCCATGGATGCCAATGGCTACTCAGATCCATTTGTCAAGCTGTGAGTCAATGCCTTGAGACCGTGAATGGGCCCTAAGGATCCTAGATCCTTGTGAAGGGGGAACCAGAGAGTTTCCCTAAAATCATTATATTGAGGCCCAGAGAGGGAGACAAACCTGCCCAAGGACACACAGTGAGACAGATGACCAGAACTGGCTAGAGTGTGAGGCTGGAATCTCAGGCAATTTGACTGGCATGTCACTTGCCCATATGATAAGTTTTGTGGCTCTGTCCCCTCATTGGAGAGGGGTGGTTGGCAAGGTCATAGTAAGCCCATTTGTAGCCCCCCAGAATCAGCAACACACCTCTCCAACTGTCCAGAGCTCCACCACCAGAGAAACAATCTGGCTTTTCCCAGATTCAGTCTGGAAATATTCAAAGAAAAGACCTTAGACTTTGGGGGTTATTCCAGTAATCTCACTCATGGGGAAGAAAAGAGATTGTATCACCTGTGTTAGTTAGGATATCCTCTGAGAAGATGCCACAATGGGGTTAAACAGATGATGACTTCATTAGGAGACGTGCCTGTGAGGGAAGGTAGGGAAAGCTGGGGGACATGGAGAGCTGTTAGGGGAGGAGGTAGGAAGTGGTGAGTGGAAGCATCCTAGAGGCAAGTTCAAGGCCATCAGGGAGTCCTTAGGCCAAAACTGGCCATCAGACAAGCCCATGTCACCTAGGAGAGCGGGCCTGCTCACATGCTCCAATAGAGAGAATTAGCATGTGGGCTGCTGTCCTGGACAGCCTTAAATCCCAGCCACATGCAAATTGGTTTTCTTAAATAATTCTCCCACCATCCCTTCTCCCATCCACCCTCCAGAAGAAGTGGAGTTGCTGTGGTCACCCGCGAAACAGCTGCCTTGGTGGCTATTGTGGAAAAGGAAACAGGAGACCATGAATCAGTTTAGGGTCAAATAAAGATTTCTAAAGTCAGAATTGCCACTTCTTTTTTTTTTACTTAGCACTTGGTATCTTTCAATTCCCCCATTTGTGTCTCTTCTTGGAAATTATCCTCAAAAAGTTTGTGAATGTGTAAGAAGTGTTTGCCCTCTCTAATGACTGGGAAGCTGAGGCATATTGAAGTGACACTGAGGTTCAAATTTGCATAGCTAGTGACAGCTTGAATCGGAACCCAAATGCCACAACCCTTAGGAGTTTTTTACTCCATTGTATTTATTCACCCAGCAAATACTGATTGGGCACCTACAATGTGCCAAGCATTGTGCCTACACCAGGGCAGAGCCTTGTAGGCAGAGGAGACAGTATGTGCAAAGGCCCTGGGGTAGAAAGAAGAGTGTGTAGGAAGTGAAGAGCATGGCTGGGCTAGAGGAGGGACCCAACCCCACAGGCTCTGAAGGCCACACCACAGAGGGAGGCTACTAAATAGTCTTGAGCAAAGGAGTGGCAGTCATCAGATTTGCAGCTTATCCCTTTTGTCTACACACATGGCATCTCTCTAGAACTTGGGAGGCAACCTAGGGATGATAGATGGTATAATGCCAGGCACCGCCATCCAGTCTCTCAAATTGACCCATGGGGAGAAAGTGCTGGCTAAGAGCATAGACTCCAGAGGCAACAGGTGGGTTCAGTCCCTGCTGTGTGACCTGAGGCACTTTCTCAACTTTGCTGGCCCCTCAGTTTCCTTGTATGTAAAATGGGTGGTTTTAGTTCTACCATCTAGTGTTTGCTGAGGATTAAGTACACCGAAGGTGCTTAGCGCAGTGCCTGGAATATGCAAGTCAATCCTCTAATGTGCACTGGTCATCATTCATGTAGATTCACTTTCTCTGATTTGTTCATCAGTTATTTGTGCATCAAATTCTAACACTGGAAGGAGCCTTTGGGGTCATCAAGGGGCTGTTCTTATTCATTCAACTTCATTCATAACAGCCTCTCATGTCTCCTCTCAGCTGGCTGAAACCAGACATGGGAAAGAAGGCCAAACACAAGACTCAAATTAAGAAGAAAACCTTGAATCCCGAATTTAATGAGGTAAGGCTGCCCCATTTTTGACATGCTTTAGGATGTTTCCTGCGTGGGAGAGAGGAACAAAGTCCCTACTAGAATGTTGTGAAGCACATCACAAAAAAGCTCTCTTTCAGAGATCAGCTTGAGTTAGCTCAAGGAGAGGTCGTGAGTTCCTTGTCACTAGAGGGAATCAAGCCTCAGACAAAAACCTATAGATTAGGAATGTCATAGGGAAGAAGCTGAGTTTGAAGAGCGATTGAATTAAATCACCTCCAGTTTTCACTAATTGTCTTTAATACTGAAATTTGAGGAGCTACATAGGAACAGCGTTGCCCTTCACCATGTACCCAGTTGGTGCTGCCTTCTCCCTGTACCTCACATCCATTCAGTGCATCAAGTCCTGCTAAGGCCACTGTCTAGATACCCACTGCCTGTATCTTTGTTCTCATTGTTACTGCCTTGGCTCAGATCCTGGCATTTCACGCCTGGACTATTGCAGTAGACTCTTGGCTCACCCACTGTTCTGTATCTCAAAATTTTACAAACTCAGATAAACACTTCTCAAAATTTATCCTAAATAAATCACCGTGGATGTACACAGTGGTTTAGCTGCAAGGGTGCCTTTTATCATATCATTAATGATCGTGAAAATTGGCAAACAATCTACGGTAAATACTCAACTGTCGGGCATGAGGTTACGGTATGGCCACACAGCCGTTAAATGAAGCCATTAAAATGGCGATGCAGAAAAATATTTGCCAGCATGCTCAGTTGGTTTTTACCATGTGTTATAAAATGGAAAAAGAAAGCCAAAATATGATTTGGTCATATGACATTTCACATAGTATAATACTCAAATATTTCATATAATACTTGAATCAATATTCATACTAATTTTTAAAAACTCATCCATGTGGTTACACCTGGGGAATGTTGACCGTGGTTATTCTTGGGTAGTTAGATTACCCAAGTTCTGGGGTTGTTTGGTTTTGGTTTTTGCTTCCTTATTTAACAGTGGATGAATTTTATAATGAGGCAGAAAAGTTGTTTTAAAAATCAGATGGTCTAGAAACATAAGCACCGATCCCTCATGTCAATCTCAGCCCCTTCAACTACCTTTAATCTCTAAGTGATGGAGACGGGAAAACCTACTTTAGAAGCTACCAGAATGGAAGACTGAGTTCATGGCTGTCTGCCTTCAGAGAAACTTGACCAGGACCCACTCTCTTAGAAAAACCCGGGAAGGAGGTAGTAGATGAGAGTACACGGGATTAAATAGATGGTGATGTGAGGAGAACTGACTCTGGGTGGTCAACATATTATGTGATACAGATGACGTATTACAGAATTGTACACTTGAAACCTATGTAACTTTACTAACCATTGTCACCCCAATAAGCTTTAATTTAAAAAAAGACAAAAAACTCCCACCAGCCTTTCTAATTGCAAACAGAGAGTCATTGAAAAGAGAATTTCAGGGCTTGAGGGACTTTGTTACACAGAATATCTGTTGAAAGGGAATTGTTGGACCTGGGGAAGAGGCTCAGAGCGGGAAGGTCCCCTTGCCCCCAGGATGCCCAGTTCAGGGGCCTCCCTTTGGCCCATGAGCCTCTTAGCTCCCAATGCCGAAGGCTCTGGGGACCCTCCCATTCACATGCCCTGCTCTCTCGCATCCAGGAGTTCTTCTATGACATCAAACATAGTGACTTGGCGAAGAAATCACTGGACATCTCAGTCTGGGACTATGACATTGGCAAGTCCAACGATTACATCGGTGAGTCCTCCCAGCTCCCAGAGAACACCCCCATCCTCTGTCCTCCCAGGAGAGGAGAGCCTTACCTAGGGCTGCAGGAGGGTGAGTATCCCTCGTTTCTTTTGGCAACCACGTCATCCAAATGCGAAGCCAGCACCCAGGGTCCTGATTTGGGTCCAATTGGGGGATGCCTTTAGATGAAAGGGCTTAAAAAGCTGGGAAGAGGGGGTCATGACTGGTTATCTGCTGAACACATCACCTCCAGTTGGAACGGTTCCATAACAGGAGAGAGGGGTCCGTGACTCTGCAGAAAATAGGGTGCATATGAAGTCTCCTTAACCTATTTGCAAGTCCAGGATGAAGGTTCTAATCTTCCTACTTCCTCCCCACCTCCCAAATCATGAGGAAGAACAGTCATGAAAGACAGAACAGGGAGGGAACTCCAGGCAAGGGACACGGCTTGAGCAAAGGCGCGGAGGCAGGACTGAGCAGGGTGATGAAAGCAACTCTTTGGAAACAGATGACGAGCTCCCACAAGTAGTGGGAGATACATTTCCGTGAGTGAGTGGTGATTTGTAGAAGGTCTTCCAAAGTAGACAGTGAAGTGATGACTTGGCGCTGCAGTAGGGAGCCACCAAAGGTTGTTGAGTAGAAGAGGCCAGTAGTAATAATATCATAACAACCTTCCATAGAGAATGGATCCCACGTCGCTGGAGGTGGGGCGGGGGGCGGGGCGGTCACTGCTTGGTGGCAGTTTCCCCCCACCTAGACATTTGGGTCCAGAACGAGAGCCCCATGCGTCCCTCCATTCTGACCACTTGTCTTGTCATCTTCCCTTGTCATCCAGGAGGCTGCCAGCTGGGGATCTCGGCCAAGGGGGAGCGCTTAAAACACTGGTACGAGTGTCTGAAAAACAAGGACAAGAAGATCGAACGCTGGCACCAGCTACAAAACGAGAACCACGTGTCCAGCGATTAGAATGGTGCCCAAGTCCCCAACTCCATGCTCCACGCCCTGCCCTGGTCGCCACTCCCCGTCCCCAGCCTGCCCCAGCAGCCCGTTGCACTCTGGCGACTCTTCTCTACGTCTCCCCCCACCCCATCCCCTGCCACCCGCCTAGAGCCTGCCCTTGAGGTCTCCCCCTCACCTTGGGCACTGCCACCAAAGACCTCCTCCTTCTGTGATGCTGCGATGTGAGCTCTGAGCGCAGCCGCTCTCCGGTCCCTCCAGGGTGGAGAGCAGTAAGGACAGGGGCAGGGAGATTTTTTACAAGGAGGTTGTTAATTTAACCACCTTCCAGTTGGGGTCATTACAAACGTTCGTCAGCATTTAGGACTGTTTTTAGACCCTCCTGGCCTGCCACCTGTGTGCACCTGTATGCGTGAACAGGTGCACACATGCCCGACGAGCATTTACTGTGTCGTGTCTGCTGGCTGTGTGTCCCCTCGGTGGTCAGCAGACCCGGACGAGGCTGTGAGGACCGCGTGTTGGGGCAGAAACAGAGTTTCCGGTTTCCCACCGCCTCTCCACATATACACCCCAGTTGCCAGGAAAACAGCCCACCGTGTTCAAAATTCCTGGTGACTAGGGACCGTCTCCCAGCTCCCAAAGGCTTCAAGAAATGGACACGCAGAATACACAAAGGGACTCGGTCACCCCCCTCTTTCAGGACATCACCTGAATGATTCCTAGGAAAAAACAACCCCCGTCTCTACCCCACCCCCCTGCCCAACCCCTGCTTCTCTCTCCTCCCCCTTCCCTCCCATGTCCCTTACACCTCACAAAACTCTCCCCTTTTCACCCTCTCACCTCTTCTCTCTACTCCCATCTCTCTCCCTCTTTAAGGGAGTCAAATAGCAAAAGCAAAAAAATACCCTCCCACAGCCTTCCTCCCTCGCCTCCTCTCACCAGCCTGACCAGCAAACGCTGAGAAACTGGCAAAAATCCTAAGTTCCACTTAGGCCGGCGCTTGTTCAAACCACCCCCTTCTCCTGTTGGCAGAGCCAGGTGGCCTGGGGCCTCGGTGGCGGCTGCTGCGTCCCCAGGTGCATGGCAGCATCCTGCAGGCTGTGCAGACTCCCCACTGAGGGGCCTTCTCAGGCCCTGGCCTCCCCAAGTGGGCGCAGAAGGTCTTTAGAAACCAGAGCTCTGGGTCTGAGGGGGGGCCTCTCCAAAGCCTCAGCATTAGGTTTCTCGTTCTCTGCTCTTAGTTAAATGAACCTACCGCCCACCCCTGACCCTGATCCTCTGCTCCTTTGATTCTCTCGGACAGTCTCTCACTCAGAACCGCCTCAACCTCTGTGTCTCAGTCTCTCTGTCTATGTCTTGCAACCCCTTCACCAAGTGTATCGGAAGAATAAAATGCCACCATCATGGATCTAAAACTTTAGAGAGTGACAGGCCCTGATGTCAAAGGCCTTTGTTCCATCATGAATCGTTCAGTCTTTTTCCTTAAAAAAAAAAAATAAATAAATTTTTTTTTAAGGAGAAAAAGGCAATGGGGACAAACATAAATTTGAAGTTCGGTGGGAGCATCCTTCAGTGCTGTGTGAGAAAGACTTGGTTGTTTCCAACTTCCATAAAGTCTTTCCCCTGTAAAAATCACGCTCTCTGTCCAACCTCGCCCCCCGTTACGTATCGACATCATCAGATGGGCAGTCAAACTCTCACTTTCTCCAAAAACACACCTTTTTACCTTCCTTTTCAGGGTTCTCCACCCCCAGCTCTCTGCACAGTTCATTGAAAGTCACTGATTACTTGCCTCGAATAACCACTTTCTAAACATCAAGTTCTCTGCCTTCCCCAAGATGGCGCACAGCTTCCGAGCTGCCATCTGGCCTCCTGACCCCCTCTTTCCCCGTCAGTCCCCCTGGCACCCACTCTCAGCCCACCTCCTTTCCAGGGTTTGCCCTTAGGAGAAAGCATGCTGGCTGCGTCGCCCACGCCTGACGCTGGCATTAGCACTGGAATCCGCACGTGGCAAGCTCAAAGTGCCCACAGCCCAGGCGCACGCTCTCTCTGCTCTCCTCCAAATGTAACCGCCTCCCTCCCTAGAATACACACACACACACACACACACACACACACACACACCGGTGCATGCAGAGCAGTCCCACCACCTTTCTTTGTGATGATGTAGCCCGAAAATAAAGTAGCAATATCCAGGAATACTGGTGGCCCGCACTCTTCCTTTCTGGTTTCTGGAAGTTCTTTCTCACCACCAGGATCCGTGATGCTTACCTGGATAGTCAGTATTTAATGAGCTTCTACTATGTTCCAGCCACTGGCGACATGGCGGTGAACAAGGAAGGTGTGGTCTCTGTGCCCACGTGGAGTTTGCTTTCTGGTGGGTTTCATCCTGGGCAGGTAGGTAGGCGGAAGGCAACTTGGCTGAGCCCACATCCTCTTAGAACTGAGCGCTTTCTGCTGGTGCCCACCCAACAGGCAGACAGCATCCTCATTGGCTGCCTCCTACCCCAACCTTGGGGAAAAGTCCCAAATGGTTATGGAATCAGACAGTGTCAAGGCTGAAAGAGATGGTAGAGTTGATCCAGGGCCTAGTTCAATCGGCACATTTACTTGACAGATGAATAGCCCAAAGCTCAGAGAAGGGAAAGGCATGTCCAATGTCTCGTGGCAGCAATGCCAGGAAAGGAGCTAGAGTGTTGAACTCACTGTGCAGTGCTCGTAACACACTGATTAACACTGATGCGGATCATCAAACACCTCCTTTGTATTCTAGCATCTTCCATCCTGCAATGAGGCTTCACAGACGGCCCCTCACTCGAGATTGTCAAAGTGAGCTGAGTAGGTAACCAACTTTCCAGATGGATTCTTAATCTCACTATACTCGATCCCAAAAGTGCTTAGGCAATTTATCAGGAATGTCGGTTACTTCCCAGAAAGAGCTGTCAATTCCATCCAACAGAAACTTCTCTTCTAGGCCAAGTTAGGAACAATTTTCTTTGCTCACCCCCAAAAGGGCAGGTCTCAATGTTGGGGCAGGAATTGTCATATTAGAATCACCTGGGGAGGTGTTTTTTTTTTTTTTTGTCAAACCACCCATGCTCTCCCCGTCACCTCCCCACTCCCATCAGATCCTGCTATGTCCTGGGTACAAGGTATATACGAATTTGAAAATTTCCTGGATGATGTCTATGCTTCCGCCTCCAACATGACTTTGCAAACCACTGCCTTCAAGTCCTATTTTTGCTGCAACTCCACTCACTAGCTGCCACCAGGTGGAAAGAGGTGCCAATTAGGACCATGCAGGCGTCCCAGGAATGGCAGGAGACACTTGTTGCCACTCTCTTTCCCTGCGCTCCTGGCAGACATCACTAATCAACATGGTGTCTTTCCCACAGAACCTACTAGTGGCCTCTGAATCCTGCTCAACACAGCACTCCAGGCAGCCACCACCAGTCAGCCATGGGCCGTTAAAAAGAAATCTAGGGCCGGCCGAGTGGCGCATTGGTTAAGAACTGACTTGGGATGCCAGAGGGCCCCGGTTCAGATCCCACATATGAGGGCCAGTGACACTGTCCTCTACAGCTAAGATGCTGAACAACAGCTTGACCTGGAGCTGGGCTGCCATGGGTCACCAGTGACGGTGTAGGCTGCAGCCCCTGCTGCAGTGGGCTGCCATAACCTACCATGTGTAGCCAGCAGCCAGCGTGAGCGGCCAGCAGCCGCCGTGAGCGGCCATCCAGAGGCCGGCGACTGATCTGCCTCGCCCAGGAAGAGCGAAATGATGGTGCCAGCTTGGGCCAGTGAAGCAACATCCTCCACAACTAGACTGAAGAACAAAACAACAGCAACTTGTCTGTTCCCCTTCCCCGGATTCCCCAGCACTGTTCCCATCCCCCCAATTCCCCAATAAAATCTTAAAAAAATAATAAATAAATAAATCTAATTTCCATCTCTAAAATGGGTGATCTCCTTACCCAGACATGGGGACATGCCAAAGAAGCGGAGTTGAATCTATTGGGTTGTCGGAAAAGTCATGATGCATTTTTGCAACGAAAAACAGAGAGAAAATATATCATGACTTTTCCGACAACCCAAGATATACATGAGGAGAAAGCTTTCATAATTATCGGTATCCCTGACTTGGCTAATTATCTCCCCCCAACACACACACCCTGAAATAAAAGAGGCAATCAGGTGTGGTCAAGAGCACCTGACCAAAAAAAAAAAAAAAAAGTCACACCAGCTCTTTAACCCATTCATGTCAAGCTTTCAGATCCTGACTCACTTTCCAGCTATGGAAACTAACCATCCCTGAGTCTCAGTTCACCTGGAAAATGGGGACAATCATGAGCGTTTCAAAGAGGTGAAACCAAGGTGCCAAAGTCTGGTCTCCTATCAGGGCTTACGAAGGTGAGGCCCAGGGAAAGGAGGAGATCGAGGGGTTGGTGGTTCCTGGTGGAAGCAGTATAACCTGGATCTATGGTCAAGTAGATTCAACAGTCAGTGCTTTGCAACCCACTGGGCTGACCCTTCCTCAGCTCAATCAGATATGCCAGGGCCATTGGCCTAACAAGGTTAAACAGTACATCCCAGCACCATGGAAATACGAATCGCCATGCATGCACCTAAGAGGCATATTTTACTTGGGTCTGGCCCGCTATTGCTGTGTGACCTTGAGCAAGTCACTTGCCCCCGTGGTTCTTCATAGGCAGGAGGACATCAGAGTATCATGACCGTCTAACTTGATTGCCAGGGACCACACATGTGCCTTTAATTTCCCAGTTGTCCAAGAAAGACCTAGACCTTTCTGCTGAGGGCAGGACCCTGACAGGGATCCTGCACGATCTGACTTGTACAAAATACACAAGGATGAGCCATCTATAATTTCCTGTTTCTTTAAAGAGAACAAGAACTTAAAGCCACCTGCAAAAGCATGAAAGCATAACTCTGGGTTTTTCTAATTATTTCCTCAGCCTTTGACAGTTACCTAATTCGCACCTAATTCTATGCAATGTTTTCTGAAACTTGACTTTATGGCATCTGTCCAAAGAACTCAATGTTGGTTTTCTAAGGACAGATCTCTTTCATACTTAGGTTGGATCTGTTTCTACGGTATATACAGAGGGTGCCAAACCAATGCGTACACATGACTTGTATATTCATCTTCTGTTATCTGTATATATTGAGTATTACAATTTTTTTTTCTTTTTAAAGAAATTTTATTGGGGAACAGTGTGTTTTTCCAGGACCCATCAGCTCCAAGTCAAGTAGTTGTTTCAATCTAGTTGTGGAGGGCGCAGTCCCGCAGCCCATGTGGGAATCGAACCGACAGCCTTGGTATTATAAACCTGCACTCTAACCACCTGAGCTAACTGGCCATCCTGAGTAGTGCAATTTGAATACAGGGTTTTTTTTCCTTTCTTAAAATGTGTATACATTGTTTGGCACCCTCTGTATTTAATCAAAAGTATACATTTCATTAGCAAGTACAATTGCCATAAAGGCATTTGGGAGCAAACAGAATTTTTTATATACATACGATCCAACTGGTGGGCAAAGCGAGTGTTTCATAGATGGATGGTCACCCCCTTCGTTATTTTTTGCCTTCATCATAAGACACCATGTTATACAGGAGTGGGGAGTGCCAGTTAATTGATGAGCTGGTTAAGAAAGATAGCTAATTGGCACCCATTAATATACTACGTCATCCAACAGAAACAGAACACACTGTCTTCTCAACTTCACTTGGGACATTTGCCAAGACAGACCACATGCTGGGCCATAAAACACACTATAACACATTCTAAAGGACACATGTCATCAAAGTATGCTCTCTGCCACAACGGAATTAAACAAGAAATCAATAAAAGAAAGCTACCTGGGGAATTCCTAAACATTAAGAGATTAAATCACACACTTCTAACGAACGCATGGATCAAAGAATTCTCAAGGGAAATTAAAAAATATTTTGCACTAACTGACAATGGAAAAACAACCAATTAAAATTGCAGGATGCAGTGAAAGCAGTACTTACAGGGAAAGTTTTTGCATTGAATGCACATATGAGGAGAGAAGAAAGATCTAACCCGAGAGGGATGGAGACGTGGAGCACAGAGATTTTTAGAGCAGTGAAACTATTCTGTGCGATTGTGGAATGGTGGATACATGACATTATGTATTAGGCAAACCCACAGAATGGACAACACAAAGTGAACCTAATGGAAACGATGGACTACAATAGTTCATAACGTGTCAATATCATTCAATCATTTGTCATATGTGCCAACATTAAGTCATAGGGGGAATTATGGGTGGAAGGAGAAGAGAATCATGGGAACTCTGTACTTGCTGTTCAATTTTTCTGTCAACCTAAAACTGCTATAAAAAATAAACCCTATTTATCAAAAGGGAAAAAGGACGGTATGGTGCCATTATAAAAAATGAAGAAAGAAAGAAAAGGAAAAGGAAAGAGAACCGTGAATGTTTGTGTATATGTATGGGTGTTAACTTAGAAAAACATATGAAAAAGTCTATCCCAAAATGTTCATAGTGGCAGTCTTTAAGGTTTAGGGTTACAGATGGGCTTCTATGCTTCTAGATTTTTCTGACTGTTTTTTTCTTTTTTTTTTTTTTTGCAATGTGCATGTACTGCTGTAAAGATCGTAGGAGACTATAAAACACTTTTGTCAGCAACAACACCAACCAGACAAAGACAGGTCGAAGGAAACCAAAAATCGGTTTTGAATTATGATTTCTGTTGGATGAGGTATTCATGGGGGTTAAAAAGCAACATTTTCAGAGTATCGTCTGAAGAAAGACCTGATGTTAAAGGCAGAGAGGGCGTTTCAGAAACTGTAAGAACGGGCAGGGAGAGCAGACAGCAGGTGGGGCTCTGAGATCCCAAGTATGCTTGTTTCTTTTGCTAAGAAGTGAGGACACAGCTCCTCCCTTCCCAGGAAATGAAACTAACAGCGCCTGACTCAGGCAGCAGAAGAAAAAAGAGGCTTACAGTTTCCTGGAGCCAGGTGTGCGGCCACTGGCTCTCCTATCCTGCCCCAGTGTCACCATGGAGCTCTGTGCTATCCCGGCTAAGAATCTGGACAAGTTCATTGAAGAACACCTGCTACCAAACACGCTTTTCCGCTCGCAGGTCAAACAAGCCGTCGACATTATCTGCAGTTTCCTGAAGGAAAAGTGTTTTCAAAGTGCCTCCCACCTTGTCCGGGTGTCCAAAGTCGTGAAGGTGAGCCAGCCTGCCTGTCTGGGGAGGGGGTGGCTGAACGGGCAAGGGTTTGCACAGAGAACGAGAGAACAAAAGGTTGAGACCTTTGGGGATGGTGGTTTCTGATTTATCCGTACCAAAAATATGACCACAGCTTGTGAAAATAGACTCTGGGGTGAGGTCCTATGTCTGCATCTTTTTAAACTAGTGCCCAGGTCCAGTTCATGAACCATCGTCCCAAGCCATGCCCATTTCAGAGACAGGGAAACTGAGGCCCGGCTCTGATCAACAATCTGCTCATTAATGGCCAGGCTGGGGACTCACTGTTTCTACAGTATCATGAGCTGATGAAGAGTATAAGTTTTGACAGAATGGTGGTTACCAGAGAGGAGTGGGGGTTGGGGGTAGGACGGAGAGGATAAAGGGAGTCGAATACAAAGTGACACAAGGAGATAGACTTTGGGTGGTGCACACACACCTAGAGTACACAGGTGTCATATTATAAAGTTGTACACCTGAAATTTATATAGTGTTGTTAACCAATGTAACCCCCCATAAATTTAATAATCATGTTTTTTGGGTTGTTGTTGTTTTTTTTAAAAAGGGTATACGTTTTGAAAGCAGATCGTACCCACTGGTTGCAAAACCTTGAGCAAGTCGCTTAACTTCTCTTCATCTCAATTTCCTCATCCATAATTCCCAACATCTTATAGAGCTATGCAAATTAAGTAAGCCACCCAGCCTGGGCCAGTCCATAGTACATAATAAGATAGTGAAGGTCAGTGAGCAAGGAGCACAGACTCGAGAACAAGGCAGCCAGGGTTTGAATTGCATCCCTGCCACCTTCTACCATGGTTCCCTGAAAAGAAGACCGGGTCTTATATTAATTTTTGCTCCAACAAATCTACATGTATTCATTTATTCATGTACAAAAATCTACATTTATTCAAACAGTCATGTCTGGCTGACGATCTTCACTGGGGCTTATGTTTGGGGCGGGGCTTATATTACGAGCATCCTGAAAAATCATGCTAGGGCTTCTTTTCCTGTTAGGTCTGATTTTCGGGGTAACGCGGTAGCTGTGCGAATGGGCTGATGGATAATCTCTCTGAGCATATGGTGAGCCAGCTGCGGGGAGCACCAATAACAGGGCCTAAATTACAGAGCCCTTGGGAGCGTTACAGGAGCTGAGGCTGTTAATGCACTCAGACCAGTGGCTGGGGCTCAAGGATGTTAGTGATGGCTCCCGTCACTTTGTTTAGGGAGGCTCGTCTCAATAAACGTTAGTTCTCATTCTCCTCCTCTGTTTTAGGGCGGCTCCTCAGGCAAAGGCACGGCCCTCAGAGGCCGATCTGATGCTGACCTGGTCGTCTTCCTCAGCCACCTCAGAAGTTTTAAGGAGCAGTTTGATCGCAGAGGAGAGTTCATCCAGGAAATAAGGAAGCAGCTGGAGGCCTGTGAAAGACAGAATATGTTTGCCATAGAGTTTGAGGTCCAGGGTGGTCATGTATGGAGTAACCCTCGTGTACTCAGCTTCGTGCTCAGCTCCCCCAGGCTCTCCGAAAGCGTGGAATTTGATGTACTGCCCGCCTTTGATGTCCTGGGTAAGCACCCCCAGACACGAGGGGTTTCAGCCTCCATCCTATGTCAGTGCTTCTTTCTCTCTCTTTCCATAGTTCCGAGCAGAACTCTCCCACTGCTCGAGTCCTTCCCCCCAAATAGAGCACCCCATCGAAGTGGGGAGGAGATCTTAGAATTTCTCCTGGGGCAAGAATAACGGTCTGAGCAGCCACAGGAGTGACGTTAAACAGCAAATTGGCACAGTTTGGGAGCAAGACATTGCTGAGTAAGCCTGCCAGGCTAACTGACCAGGTCTACTTGTGGCAAAGTGTTTTACTTTTCTCAACCTGAGGCAGCTTAGATCTGGCATAAAGTCAATACATTAATTTCATCATTTACCCAAAACATGAGGAAACCTCATCAAATCTACACCAAGGGTTGGGATCTCTGGATGATGCACAGGAGCATTTGGACGGGAAGTGTAACCTCTTAGAGGCTCACCTCCCACATTAGGAAACTGGTCAAATCACCACAGCTACATCTTACTGTTATTTTAAGTAGTAAATGATCACTTACATTAAACTCGTACACAAGGCCTGGCACATGGTAGGTGTTCAAAACTGTGAGTGCCCCGGCTGTGCACCAAGGCACCCCAGGACACCCCCAGAGAACTAACTCACAGGGGTGTGTTGGGATAGTTCAGATTTTAGATTTCTGAGGGGAAACAGCAACCTCTGTCTGATACCATGCAAACTGCTATTAAGCTGTACAGACTGAGCTACTTAATAAACAGAACGGTGAGGGGTTCCTTTTGGCCTAGGGACCCGGGAGAAAGACATTGAAACCCTAGAGGCACCAGGAAATGAAAAAGTTTGGAAATATCTCCTGGTTGCCATGTCCCGTGTTGGGCACTAGGGAGCAATGGTTACCCAAAAAGTAAGAGGGAAAGTGAGGAGCGGAGGAAGGGCACAGCAGGCAGAGGGAACAGCACAGGCAAAGGCCTAGAGGCTAGAAAAGATCAGCATGTAGTGGGGGAGCTGCAGGGTGCTGAGGGTGAATGGAGGACAGAGGGCAAGGGGCAAGTGACTGAGAAATGAGCCAGGACCGCTGCCGCAGCCTGTAACCCAGGTGATGCATTTTTCCTGAGCACAACGGACAGCCACGGGAGGGTGACGGGCGAGGCAGGACCATCATCAGATGTGGGTTTTAGGATGACACTGGCTGTAGCGTGGGAAATAGATGAGGCCAGAAACACCCAACAACAGCCATGACAACAGATTATTTATGGAGCGCCTACTGTGTGCCAGGCCCTATTCTATGGCTGTGAATGAGCCAGACAATGAACATAAAAACAAGATGAACACAGTGATACTTGCTGTGACAAAAACTAAACAGAGCGATGGGGGGGTTGGAGGCTTTTTTCAAACAGGGTGATGGGATGAGAAGGGGCCAACCATGGGAAGAACTGGGGGTTCCGGGAAAAGGAAGCAGCAGCTGCGAAGGCGCTGAGACAGGAACGAGGTCAGCAAATTTGAGGAAGAGATAAAAGGCCAGGGGGGTAAGGGCAAGTAGAGCAAGGTGGGAGTTGGGAAGGGAGAGGTGGCAGGAGACAGAAGGCACCAAACTTCATAGGCCACCACAGAGACTTTGACTTTATTCTAAATGTCAGGGGAAGCAAAAAGTGGCGTGATCAGATTTTCAAAGGCCTCTCTGGGTGCTAGGTTGAGAATAGGCTGAACAGGAATCAGCAAGGTGGCACTGCCATAGTCCAGGCGAGAGATGACGGTGGCGTGGACAGCGTGATGGCGGCAGTGGAGATGGGAGAAGGGGGGACTGGGGTTGGCCCTCAGGACCCCTGACTCTAAGCCTGCTCCCCTTTCCACTGCACCCAGTGAGTTTGTCTCCCCAGAGCAACTAAAAGAACCTCAGAGAACAGCTGACACCTTAGAATGATGAATTCCTCCCTAACAGGGCAGGTGACGGGCGACTACAGACCTAACCCTGAGATCTATGTCCGGCTCATCCAAGAGTGCGAAGAGCTAGGTCTGAAAGAGGGTGGTGAGTTCTCTACCTGCTTCACGGAGCTGCAGCGAGGCTTCCTAAGGGAGCGTCCAACCAAGCTCAAGAGCCTCATCCGCCTAGTCAAGCACTGGTACAAAGAGGTATGGCTGTCGGTCGGGACCAGAGGGGAGGGGCGGGGGGAGGGAGGGAGTGGAGAGGAGGCGGAAGGTGGAGGGAGATGAGGGATAGAGGAAGGAGGAGGAGAGAGTACAGGAGAAGTTGAGAGGAAGAAGAAGGGGAAGAGAGGAGGGAGCACGGAGAAGGGGCCAGGTGCCAGTGGGCCCAGGGTATCTTGGTCCCCTGGTCTTCCCCATCTCAGGAAATGGCAACTCCATCCTTCCAGGTACTCTGGCCCAAACCATGGGTTCTCCCTTGATTGTTTCACCACCCCCCCCCATCCAACCAGTCAGCAAATGATGTTGGTCCTGTATGTAAAATATATCCGTAATTGGCCGGCCGAGTGGCTCAGTGGGTTAAGAGCTCGCTCAAGAGTGCAAGCTCTGAGCAACACGGTTGCCGGTTCAATTCCCGGCCTGAGCTGAGCTGCCAACAGGTGGCAGGATGGCTCAGCTATAAATAAATAAATGAATGAATGAATAAATAAATAAATAAATAAATAAATAAATAAAATATATCCAAAATTCATCAATTGTCAACACCTCTGTCACTCTCACCCCGCTCCAAGTCTCACAGGATCTGTGCTCAGCCTCTCTGAGTCCCCATCTCTGCCCCTCACCGCCCCCGCAGGCCATGCTATCCTCCTCCAGCCTCAGGCCCTTTGCACTTGCTTATTTGTGTGGTTATTGTGTGTCTCCCCACTAAAAATGTACATGAAAGAAGAGATTGGTATGTGTTATTCAGTGTATCCCCAGAACCTAGAACAGTGCCTGGCACACAATATGTGTTCAATAACTAATTGTTGACTGAATTAATGAATGCTGTAACCTCAATCTCTCTCTCTCCCTCTCCTTCTCTAAAATAATACAGGAACCTTACAATACTTGAACTCCACTAACCACTATCACCATTACCTCCAACTTACATGCTACTTTTGTTGTGTATTTCAAGTCTCTCTCTATTTCCAAGTCCCTGAAAGCATTACTATTGTTTTATAGAGCTAATGTTCATTTTACCTATCCACATAGTTACCACTTTCTTCACTCTCCCTTCTTTCCTACATCTCTAACCTTCCATCTGGGATCAATTTCCTTCTTTCTGAAGTACATCCTTTAAGATTTCTTTGGTGACAGTCCTCTGATAGTAAACTCTCTCGGTGTTTGTCTGAAAATGTTTTTATTTTACCTTCATTGTCAATGGGTATTTTCACTGGGTTGGTGGTCATTTCAGTACATTAGGTATACCATTTCATCTTCCAGGGGCACTAATGAGAATCCAGTTCTTGAATCTGTCTTGAATCCAGAATCTGTCTGTCTTACTGTGGCTTCTTTTGTAACCTCTCTTCCTCCTCTGGCTGCATTTATATTTTTCCCTTTGTCTTTGATTTTTGTTTAGTGTCAGTCTGATGTGTCTTAATGATAATTACCTTTTATTTGTCCTGCTTGGAGTCCATTGGGATTCCTGACTCTATAGAGCATAAATTATGAAAATTAGCCGAAAGAAAGCACTTGTAGGGTTCCTACGTGCCTTATAGAAGTGAACGAAATTCCCTCTGGAGGAAGATACATAATCCAAAGCCTCAAATGATTTGCTTCAAGAAAACGTTATTTACAAAAATAAGCGGTAGGCTGGATTTGGCCCATGGGAAATGTGCTTTACACAAAGCTGGATAAACTCATTTTTCTGGTTGTGTTTCCACTTCTCAGTGTAAGAAGAAGCATGGATCGCCCCTGCCACCACAGTATGCCCTGGAGCTCCTGACAGTCTATGCTTGGGAACGTGGGTGCAACAAAACAGAATTCAACACAGCTGAGGGATTTCGGACTGTCTTGGAATTAGTCCGGAACTACCAACAGCTTTGGATCTACTGGACAAAGTATTACAACTTTGAAAATCCTGTCATTTGTGACTACCTGATGAAGCAGCTCCACAAACCCAGGTACTCTATTCCCCTGGGGCTTAGCCCCCCCCACCCCCCCAAAAAACATAGATGGACCCCTGAATACATCTCTGGTGCCTTGGAAATGAGGAAATAGGAGGGCTCCATATTTATTGATCATCTGCTGTTGTCAATCCCTGCGCTGGGCGCTTTACTACTGCCATCCGATTTAAACAACCACCTCCAACCCTGTGAGGCAGGCACTGTGCTAACCACTTTATAGACAAATAAACTAACATGCTGAGAAGGAAGGGGCTTGTCCAAACCTTAGCAGAAAATGAGTGAAAGAAGCTGAAATTTGAACTAAAATAACAACAGCTACAGCAATAAGAATAATTGCTCCCAAGGATTAAAACCTTGCTTTAAGATGAACACATTCTAATATAATAGTAAAAATGAGCATGACCACCGACCCCTAATTATGTTCCAAGGACTGTGCTGAGCATTTCACATGCCTTGTCTCAATCCTCGTACTACACCCTTTGAGGCTGGCATGTTCAACTCTCCCCATTTCACAGATGAGGAAACTGAGGCTTAGAAAGGTGAAGTGTCCTACCCGAGGACACACCACAACTAAAAGGCAGAGGTGAGATTGAAACTCAGGTCTGTCTGGGTGGTGAACACACAATGTGATACATAGATGATGTATTACAGAACTGTACACCTGAAACCTATGGAGCTTTGCTAACAATGGTCACCCCAATAAACTTTAATTAAAAAGAAAGAAAGAGAGAAAGAAAGAAAGAAAGAGAGAGAGAGAGAGAGAGAGAGAGAGAGAGAGAGAGAGAGAGAGAAAGAAAGAAAGAAAGAAAGAGAAAGGAAGGAAGGAAGGAAGGAAGGAAGGAAGGAAGGAANAAAGAAAGAAAGAGAAAGGAAGGAAGGAAGGAAGGAAGGAAGGAAGGAAGGAAAGAAAGAAGGAAGGAAAGAAAAGAAAAGAAAAGAAAAGAAAGTTAGGTCTGTATGGCCCAAGTGCAAGGCTTCTTGTCCTGGGGCTCGCTGCCCACCACTGAGCAGGGCACTCAGGACATGCCCCAGGGAGCAGCCCTTCCTGGGCCCCTCCTCCTGCCCTGACCCCCACCCTGCCTCAGGCTTCGTGTTTCGCTCTTCCAGAAGCATCTAGACTTCCCAGACACAATCCAGCTCCTCACCTGTCCCTCTCTAAATGTTTCTCTTCAGGCCTGTGATTCTAGATCCAGCTGACCCTACAGGAAATGTTGCTGGTGGAGACCGACATCGCTGGCAGCGGCTGGCAAAGGAGGCTGAAGTCTGCTTGAGTTACCCATGCTTTAAGACTTGGAATGGGTCTCCAGTGGACTCCTGGAATGTACAGGTGAGACTTTCTGCTTCCTCCTCCCTGGGGGCCTTCCTCCACCCCTCCACACAGCTTGAGGCATGTAGCTGGAGAGACCTTTCTTTCCAAAGAAATTGCCCCCTGCCAGAAGTCACGCACATTTATATAGTTTCAGGCTGTATTTCATAGTTTACAGTCATTTTGACCCCATGCAGAGGGTTCCTAGAATGTTTACATCTGTTGTCCCAAGTTCAGTCTTTAATTCATGCTGCCTTGGCTGGAGGTCACTATTTTAACAGCTCCAGCTGGCTCATCCCCCTAAGAATAATCATAATTATCATCATCATCATCATCATCATCATAACAACAACAACCGCCGCTTATTGAATATTTGCTTTGGGCTCAGGTTCTGTCCTAAGCCCTTTTAACACATCATTTTATTAAACCCTCACAACACCCTATAAGATAGGCTTTCTACTCCCATCTTACCAATGAGAAAAGGAGGCTCAGAGAGGTGAAGCCACCTACTCAAGGACATCCAGCTAGGGAGTGGGAGAGCTGGAATTCAAAGTTGGTGGACTCCAACGCCATTGCTCATTCAGCTGGGTAAACAGCCCGCCTTGCACCACCACCCTACCCCCTCACCACCACCACCACACACACACACACACATCATGTGACAAACAGGAGGCTCAGAGCAGCCAGGTGACAGTGGGCATGTCACAAAGCTAAGTAGGGCCAGAAATTCCTGAACTGGGATCTTTCCACTGCCTGAGTCAGGGTCTTTCTCGTGCTGGGGGATTGATGATGTGGTAGGTGGGTTCCCTGGGAAGCACACTGTGAAATGGAGTGTAGCATGCAGGATGCTTCGGGGCAGAACCACTGGGACCAACACCTGTGGAACAGAGGAGAAGGAAGCAGGCGCAGGCACAGGGAGAAGTCCAGCTGGGATACAGCCCAATGACAGTGACAGCCAAACCCCGCGCCCCGCGCCCACTCTCACACACACACCCCCGGGGAGCCCCTGGAGCTCCAATGGCCGTCAGAGTTGTTCTGCAGCAGCCTGAAGTGCTCAGGCCTCTATGCCTGGCATGGATCAGTCACTGAAAGAATAGGAGCAACTCAGGAAGGGGCGTGGCCTCGAGCAGCAGACCAATAAAGCCTGCTTGCTGGCAGCCTCCGCGGTCGCTGGGACTTGCCTGTCCTTCCTTGAGGAGGATCCGAGTGGCCTGTCGCAGTGTCCACCCTAAATGCTCTCTGAGACCCATGACCAAGGTGGGGACGGCCTGCTCTCCAATGTGATCGTGTGCTTTACTTTTTGCAGTGCTAAGAAGGCAGCGAAGATGACTGGATAACCTGTGCTCTCAAGACATATCCGCTCCATCATTACGGACAGTGCCCTGGATCCTTTCACAGCCACCACAAACGCCAGGCAGAGCCCTCGCCCCGGGCAGAAGAGAACGGAACCAAATATTGTAGCTCACCCGAGAGTTCGCTTTCCATATGCAAACCAGCCAATCCAGAGCCGACTCCTTTATCAGCTTTCACAGGACTCTTGCATTCTGGGCCTTAATCCGTCTGTCCTACTCACCCCGGGGCCAGGTCCCAGACAAACTCGGGACAGCCCCTACCCTCCAGAGCCCACTGTAATTATTCTAGCTAGCCAATCCTAAGCCTACTTCCCCTGCCTTGCCTGGCTTCTCCCACGGAAACTGTGATAAAACTTTCCGCCCATGTTTTTCCTTGGCTTGCTCTGCCTCCTGAACAAACCCCGGTGTTTCCTTGTGTGGCCCTGCGTGGCGGGCTGTGCTTCCTGCTTGTAGGGATCTGTGAATATAAACTTCTTCCTTCATGATAATATTTGGTTATTGTCTTAAACATTAGAAAAATAAAGAAATGGTTAAAAAAAAAAAAAGAACACTCCCACAGTCCCTTCCTCTAGGCTGTTAAAATTGGGGGCCTGTCTCTTCAGCCTTTTCTCCGACTCTGTCTCCCTGTGTGTGTAGAGTTTTCATAGAAATGGGATTCTACTCCCTGTCCAGTTTTGTTATCAGCGTTGTCACGTTTATCATGGGTGATCTCTCCGTGCTGAGAGAATTTTGGCATCACATGTAACGGCTGCCTTGCATTTTACCGTGTGGATAATCCACTCTGTTGTCTTCTGAGAGTTTCAGTGTTGCAGTCCTCAGCAGATTAATTGAATTAGCAATTAGTTGCTTAATTGAAAAGCCACATAGATCATATGGTAGTACTCTTTAATTTTTTGAGGAACCTCCATGTCCCATCCCACCAACGGTGTACAAGGGTTCCCTTTTCTCCACATCCTCACCAACGTGTGTGTGTGTGTGTGTGTGTGTGTGTGTGTGTAATAGCCATCCTAACAGGTGTGAGGTGATAGCTCATGGTTTTGATTTGCATTTCCCTGATTAGTGATATTGAGCATCTTTTCATATACCCATTGGCCATTTGTATTGTCTTCTTTGGAGAAATGTCTATTCAAGTGCTTGGCCCATTTTTAATAGGGTTATTAGTTGGGTTTCTGTTGTTGTTGTTTTGAGGGGTTTTTGTTTTGTTTTGTTTTGTTGCTTTTGAGTTGTAGGAGCTATTTGTTATTTTAGAAATTAACCCCTTATCAGGTTTATGGTTTGCAAATATTTTCTCCCTTTCCATAGGTTGCCTTTTTACTCTATTGATGGTTTCATTTTCTGTGCAGAAGCTTTTTAGTTTAATGTTGTCTCGCTTGTCTACGTTTGCTTTTGTTGCCTATGCCAAGCACACCCTATAGGATCAGGATATCTGTTCAACAAATGCTGTTGGGAAAATTGGATCGCCACATGCAAACAAATAAAATTGGACCCTCATTTAACACCACACACAAAAGTCAACTCAAAATGGATTAAAGACTTAAATGTAAGACCTGAAATAGAAGAAAACATAGGAGGAAATCTTCATGATACTGGATTTGGCAATGAGTTGATGGAGAAGACACCAAAACACAAGCAACAAAAGGCATTTATTTTTATACGGTGTGAGGTAGGGGTCCGGTTCTAGTTCTTTTACGTAGATGCCCAATTATCCAAATAGTATTTGTTGAAGGAAACATATTACCCCACACACACACACACACACACACTGCTCTGTGAGGCCACTTCTGACATATACCCAAAGTTCATATATGTGAGTTTATTTCTGGACTCCGCTCTGTTTCATTGGTCTATTTATGTATTCTTGAGTTCATGTGACCTTGTCTTAATTATTATAGTCTTAAAATAATTCTCAATATCTTGTAGAAAACTGTTCCCTTTTTATCAAACTTCATGGCTTCTCTTGCCCTTTCCTATTTCTATGTTAATTTTATACTCAATTTGTAAAGTTTCACCCAAAATATGGGGGGGGGGGCATTTGACTGGTATTACATAAGTTAGTTTGAGGAAGCATGGCAGCTATATAATTTTGAGGATCCCAATCCATGAACTTGGGGTGTCTCTCCATTAATTTAAGTCTTCTTTAATGACTCTGTAACTAAGTTTTATAATTTTTCCCTAAACAGGTCTTTCATGTCTTTTGTCATATCATTCCTAGATATTTGTTTCTATGTTATTGTACTTAGTATGTTTTCTTTAATTTCATTTTGTAATGGTTGGTTCCTGGAAGACCTAAATGTTTTCAGTAGGTATATTTGATTATAGCATTATGAGCGATCTTTATACTTTTCTGACTTTTCCAATTTTATTCATTTCTTTTGCAATAAACTTGTATTGTATGACCACAAGAAACAATAAAGCAATTTTTCTTGCAAAAAAATTTTTTTTTGGATAAGTATTTCAGCTAAGCTCTGATAGTTTGTGCAAAACCAGGAGGCCCAGGTTATAGAAAGCTCTGAGATGCTGGTATTTGGAGCTGCTGGTTTAAGGACAAATTTACGAGATTTGGAAACAGAGGAGCAAGTGAGTAAGGGATGATCGAAATTATCATAGGAAGCTTGAAGCACGGGAGACATGAATTTCTGAGTGCCCAGGGCCGGCCGAGTGGCGCAGTGGTTAAGAGCTGGCTTGGGACGCCAGAGGGCCCCAATTCGGATCCCGTATATGAGGGCCAGTGACACTGCCCTCTACAGCTAAGATGCTGAACAACAGCTCAACCTGGAGCTGGGCTTCCCTGAGTCGCCTGGGACAGCGTAGGCTGCAGCCCCTGTGGCAGTGGGTTGCCATGGGCTACCGTGTGTAGCCAGCAGCCGCTGTGAGCGGCCGCCCAGAAGCCGGCAACGTCCTCCACAACTAGACTGAAGAACAAAAGGACAGCAACTTGTCTGTTCCCCTTTCCCCCAATTCCCCAGCGCTGTTCCCATCCCCCAATTAAAAAAAAAAATTCTGAGTGCTCAGAGATAAGGCCACTTTCTGAGCAACTTCCGGCTGAGGAAACGAAACTGAGACTAGTGAAGGTTTAGTCACTAGAGATGAAGGTGGAGTTCGCTGAGGAGATTAGGACATAGCTGAGAGGCTTTTAAAGAAAGAACATGTGTGTTGTAAGGTTTGAAGTCCAGGGTTAATGGGGAACCTCAGGATGCTCGGCTTCAGCTCAACCAGGGCGTGGATTTTACCCTGGGTAGCCTTCCCAGTTACCCCCTCCTCACACAAACCCCCTCCCTGCACACCTCTCACCTGTGAGATGCCCGGGCCCTTCCCTGGAGCTCCTCAGGGCCCTTCTTACCCTGCATAGGTACCCATGTCCTCCTGTGTTTGGGACTGCAATTTTCTTCATCCAAACCCATCTCTCTTTCAGTGGTCTCATAGTATCCAGCTCACCGGAGCACCTCTACTTAGGATCCAGCAGCATTATTCAATTTTATGTTCTCTTTCCTGCTATTCCTAGAGGTCTAGGGTGGGAGTTGAAGGCATGTGCATATAATCGGTCCACCATCTTGATCCATCTTGACCCTTCTGCTTTCTACTTTCTAAAAATCCCTTAAATGTTCTGGTCCTTGACGGCATGCTTTCTCAATTTCCAACCTGTTGAGTTGCATGATACTTTTCCTATATCTTTGCTGTCATTTCAGTAGGATCTTGAGTGTGCGTTCAGTCCCCCATCTCAAATGGAAGATTTCTAAGTGACCTGTGAATCAGGAACAGGACTGTGATTAATGGGTGAGCATGAAAATCGTGACTTTATGGCTGAAGGCGCCCGGCTTGAATTCCCTCTACAACATCTAACCTATAATACAGTCTTCCTCCTATACTTAAATAACTCCAGTGACGAGGCGCTCATTACTCAAAATACATCCTGTGTGTACACACTAGCAGTCCACCAGCTCTCCCTCCAACCTCTGAAATTCACTCTCCAACCCCACCTATCTCCTTTTAGCTAAGGCAGACTTCAGGAAGTTCTTGTTAAGGTTCATTGTTACCTGAGATTTACTCAGAGGCAGAGTACGTGCTGAATTCTTGAGTGACGGGGCAGAGGACTAATGAGTTTCTGAGTGAGACAGGGAGGTGGGAATGGTCTGTGGCTCAGACCAGTCCTGAGAAAGAGTTCAAGAGTGCAGATTGTGGTCACCTGGGTGGAGAACAACAGGGAAGCAGCTGAAAAGAGACAGGACAGGCCATGAAGACAGAAACAGCCAAGGGTTACCAGGGAGATTCAAATTTCCACTCTGCAGTTTACCAGCTGCCTAGTTTTGTGCTAATCCCCAAAGGATTGAACTCTTGTAGCTTTATAATGTTTTAATATCTGATATTGTGTGAGAGGTACCCTTCTCAACTGATTTTCCTTTCTCATTTCCCCACTTAAAACAAACAAACAAACAAACAAGCAAACAAAGGATTCTTACAGACACTTGAGAGTGATGTGAAATTTTCAAAAATGGAATGTTTATTGGCATTGTATTAAATGTAGAAAGTATTTAGGAAGAGAGTTAAGAATAGTGTATAGTAGTGAGAGCTTGTGCTGGATTTCAATCTAACTTGACAACTTGCCCAGCGCGGTGACTGACCTTCCACAAATGACTAGATTCTCGGTACCTTAACTTCCTCACCTATTAAGTGGGTGTAATAATAACAGCCCTTACATCATGGTTGTGGGGAGGACTCAGTGAAATGATAAGAGCAAAGCCGGGCAGGACAAGCATTCTTCAATTGTTCCCCGATTTTCACGTAACGTCCTGCACGTTTCTTAAACGCTGCCAACGCTGCGTTCTGTGGGTGGACCTGCTGCCGTAAAGGCGGTTTTGTTCGGTTGTGTTTTGTGTGTTGGGCGTCCCTGGGAGCCCCAGGGACGGTAGATCCGGTGTTGAGAGAGAGAGAGGAGGCCAAGGCGGAAAAAGCCGCGGCTGGGAAAGGAATCGGGAAGCGGGTGCCAGGGTGAAGGGCCCCCCCGGTAAAGAATCGAAACCGAAAGTGAGAAAGGAAAGGGAATACCCGACCAAGATGGGAGGAAATCGGGAAGCTGGGGGAAACGGGGTCAGCAGCACCCCTCCCTCGCCCTACGCCTGGCGCAGGACCTAGGAGAGGGCGCTGCGGGCACCGGGGGGACCGCGCAGACCCTGGGACGCAAACCCAGAGGCGCGCGAGCGCGTTGGAGCCCGCAGCCCGCAGCCCGCGCGCAGAACCCCTGCCACCCTCTGGCGCCGCGCCGGGCCATGGCCATGGCCATGGACATCTACCGCACCGCCGCCGCCGAGTTGGACAGCCTGGTGATCAACAGCCTGCAGCCGCCCGCGGAGTTCGTGGGAAGCACGCGGCGTGCCCTCGGCTCCCTGGGAGCTGCCCTGAGAGAGCGCGGGGGTCGCCCCTCGGCCGCTGCCCCTACATGGCGGGTGCTGAAAATCGCCAAGGTGGGTTTCGGGGCGCGGGGCGGGGGGGGGCGGCGAACTCAGGGTCTTCATTTGTAAACAGGGGCAATGGAGGTCGCGGGACGCATTGAGATGGGAGACAGGGGACGGGGAGGGGTTTTATCAATCTTTTCATTCATTTAACACCTGTATATTGAGAGAACACTTACTATGCTGCAGGGCCGTTCAAAGTCCCTGAAAATATGTATTACTGCTCACAGCAGCTCTGCGAGGTGTTAATTAACCCCTCCTTGACAGATGGGGAAACTGAGGCACGGAGCGACAAAGTAACATGTCCAAGCCTGTAAGAGGTCCAGTCAGGATTCAAAGCCAGATAGTCTGATTCTGGCATCCGTGCTGCTAATGGTCACCTCTCATTCATTCATTCATTCGTTCACTCACTCATTCACCAAACAGACTATGCCCGACCCTGCAGAAATAATAATTCTCTCTGATAGCCATAATAGCCCAATTTACTGAGAAATTACCAAATAGCAGTGAACATTGTCTCATTAAATGAATCTTATCTCACTTTATCACATTCAAGTGAGGTAGACTATTGTCCCCGTTTAATGGATGGAGAAACTGAGATGGGGCGTGGCGAAGCCACTGCCCCAAGCAATTTTTTGGCCTGGCTATTTCTAGTCACATTGCCATTGTGACCTCAGGATTCCTCAGACTCAGAGAGGAGGCCAGCATCAGCTACTGTATCATCATTGTAAACTCAGGGGTTCTGGTTGGACCAAGGCGATCAGGTGGGATAGAGGGGGACCTGGAGTTTAGTGGCGGAAGGGAGATGGCCTCAGAGCAGCTAGCAGTTTCCTAGGGCTGAATCTTAGCTCGGGAGATGGGAAAGCAGGGGGAGACACTGGTAGCCTAGGAGATGTGGGGACAGATTTCCACAGAGCAAGAGTTTAAGGATCCCTAAATGTCTGGCATCCTTAGCTTCCTGGAAAACTTGAACAGGCTCTTGAAGTTGAATCTCGCTTATGGCCTTCCGATGACTCGAGGATTTGAGGGAGGCAGCGGGCTTCATTTCCAGTCTTGAGGAATGGCTGATTCCGGGGCTGGAGTGAGATGCACAAGATGAACCAGAAAGCAAAGAAGGCCCCAGTAGGACCCTCCACCCAGGGCCAACATGAAGGGGCTCCCCTGCCCCACTTGCGACCACCCCAAATGTCTCCAGACATTGCCTTATGTCCCCTGGGGGCACAGTTGCTCACCACTGGGAATTGCCATTTTAGAGATGCCCGTGAAAGCAAGTGTCTGTGGGTGAAATGACACATTGGCTGGAATTTCTTTCAAAATCGCATACAGAAGATAAAGGGGGTCGAACACATCGGGCAAATGTGCCAAAAGACATCTTTAAAAATCCTCTCTTCTCTTGTGTAGGTTTGGAAGCGTTCATCATAAAAACTGTTTTTAAATGAATTGATTTGTGGGGGTTGGTCGAGGATGTGGATTTGGAGCCTGACTCCCTGCTTCAGATCATAGCACTGGCTCAGGGAGCCAGTCAGTGAGCAGACGGGAACCTCTGTGCACTTTCGTTTCCTCGTTTCTAAAGTGAGAGCAATCATAGTACCTTCCTCCCAGGCTTGTTAGGGAGGTTAAATGAGATGATCGCGTGCAGAACATCTAAGAAATGCTCAATCTGTCCTATTCCTCTGTGCTCTGCCTTGTTCCCCCTTCCTTGGCAGGCCCCCATGGGAGGGGCTGGCAGTTGGATGGGGGTGGTGTTCCTACTGGGGCTAATCCTGGTTCTTGCCTCTCACTAGCTGTTACTTCACCGCTCTGAGCCTCGCTCCATATCTGTGACCATATAGTAACCACATCGGGATTGTTTGGTGCCCTGTTGGAAGTGAGATGACAGGTGTTAGACATTTCACAGAGTGCCAGGCACAGAGCAAAGACTAATAATGTGAATTTCCTTCCCCAGTTTCCTCCCCTTCCTCAGGCTGGCAGCTTTGCAGACAGAAACACTGGTCAGAACGGTCTCAGAAATTCAGCAAATTATGTAACCGCTTTGGACTGACCCTGGGCCAAGGTCACGAACATGAGTTCTGCAAACCAGATTTTTGTTTTACCACAAATTTTAATTTTCTTTAAAGTTAGTTGCCCACATTTAGAAATTATGGATTTACATATAAAAACGTAAAAGTGGCTTTTCTTGAAAACTCAGACCTGGCTGCCCTGAGCGGGCCCACATTCCCGTGTGACTTTGAACGCCAGGAACTGTGCGGCCACAGTCTCCACCCAGCCTTACTCAAGTTGCCTGCCAGCCCGTGTGGGCACTAGAATTGGAGAGTGTAGAATTCCGAGTTATTTTTTTGTCTTTCCTAGGGAGGTTCCTCTGGCCGGGGCACGGCTCTGCGGGGTGGCTGTGATGCCGAACTCGTCATCTTCCTCAACTGCTTCAAGAGCTATAAGGACCAAGAGTCTCGTCATACAGAGATCCTCAAGGAGATGCAAGCACTGCTGGAATCCTGGTGGCGGAACCCAGTCCCCGGTCTGAGCCTTGAGTTTCCTCAGCGGGACACACCTGGGGTCCTTCGGTTCCGACTGGCCTCCGCAGACCTTGAAAACTGGATGGATGTCAGCTTGGTGCCCGCCTTTGATGCTCTGGGTGAGGGATGCCTGGCCCATTCCAGGGTTCGGGGCAAGATCATTAAGAGTAAGACAGGGCTTCCAGTTCAAGTCTTGCCACCAACTTGCTGTGTGACCTGGGCCACTCCTGGGGAGAATATCCTTCAGCCACTGCCAAGAGCAGAGCTGCTCAGCCCTTCCAATAAATACCCCAGGGGAGAGGGCAAATAAACACCGGACCAGCAGCAGGGGTCTGGGGACAAGGCCAGAATTCTGCATAATCTTGTATTTTTATCTTAAAAACATTAATGTGGTTTTTGCATTCACCTTTGTAATATACCCATATTTGATTTAATATAATATTGCGGATAATAGTAACAGGAAATAATAATCTGTCCTAGCGTTGTTGGAAGGACTGTATGCATTAATACATGTAATGAATTTCATGTCTGGCACATGATAGGGCTATATGAATGTTTGCTATTCTTATTTTGTTATTGTTATGATTTTTTCCCATTATTATTATTATTATTATTATTATTATTATTATTATTATTTGCCATGATGCTCTGGGAGATAGCTGTCTTAACTTTTTCCAGGGTTATGATGCCCTGACAGACAGCCACATTCTCCCATGCCTATATACCCACCCTCTGGGTACAGATATATTAATTATGATAACTAATCCTTATTCAATGCTTAATTACTCCAAGCACTTGACATGTTTTATCTCATGAATTCCTCAAAACAAACCTACAAGGCCTGTACTGTCTTATCTTCTGTTTTACCAATAGGGACACTGAAGCACAGAGACATACAGTAATTTATCCAAAGTCACACAGCCCGTAAGTGAGGTCAGGAACCTAGGAAGCTATGGAGTGTTTACTTTTCCCAAGCTAGGCCCCTAGGAAGTGGGCACATTCTGTGAAGTCAGCTGGCTGTGCATTCCAGCCCTGTCTCCAGCTATATAACCTTGGGCAGAGGACGGAATTTCTCGGCGCCTCAGTTTCCACAGCTATAAAACGAGGTGAATAATTGTAGGGTTTTGGTGGGGATACAATGAGGGGAGTCAGGTAAAACTTTCAGCACAGTGCCTGGCATGTAGTAAGCGCTCAAAAGTATTAGCAATCACTGCTAAGGAATTAGACAGAACCTTTTGCCTTTTATTTCTCTGGCATCGCTTCCTCTCCTCATGACACCCATTAATTAAAGGTCTGTCCAGTGGTCTTTTCATATGGCCTGAGGGATCCTCGGAGAGAAAAGAATTGCCAGGTTATAAGGGCTTCTTCTGACTCCGCTGGAGACGTCATTCCTGTTTCACCTTCTGGGAATGAGGCTGCCCTCTGTGGCTGGCCCGTGGGGACCCTCCCTGCTGGTCTAGAGCTTTCCTACCTGCCTCCTGAGAAGCTCCAGGCTCTTTTTCACATCCTCCAACGCCCATACTGGTGTATCCATCGCCCCCCCCCCCCCCCCCCCCCCCTTCCCCTCACTCTCTTCCAGCACCCCAAGCTGAGCTCAGTGCCAGCCCCCCATCCTTGTGTCCTCAGCACCCTTGTTGACTCACAGGCCTTTACACTCACAGGGCAGCTCAGCTCCAACGTGAAACCCAAGCCCCAGGTCTACTCGGCCCTCTTAGACAGTGGCTGCCAGGCAGGCGAGCACGCGGCCTGCTTCTCAGAGCTACGGAGGAATTTCGTGAACATGCGCCCAACCAAGCTGAAGAACCTGATTCTGCTGGTGAAGCACTGGTTCCGCCAGGTGAGGCCACCAGCCAGGGTCCTTGCTCCAGGCGTATGACTGTTTGTATTTGTGCTTCCATGACAATGAGCCTATTTTCTTAACGTTTAGCTGCCATTTGTGTTTCTCTTTCTGGGGTTTGCCTGTTCATATCATTTGTCCATCATTTTTCTGCTGGGTTCGCTACCTGCCTTCTTCTGGCTGTTTGTTGGAGCTCTTTATATATTCCGGGTGCTGGTTTTTATTTGGTTGATCTAATGCAAGGCGCTTCTCCCAATCTGTGGCTTTTACTTTGTTTGTAGGTCTTTTGTCACAGAAAAGGTTTGACTTTGACTGTAATCAGATGTGTTCATCGTTTTCTTATGTGACTTGTGGTTTGTGAGGCTTCTTTAAGGAGCCTTTGCCTAGTCTGACTTCCTAAAATTATTCTCCCATGTTTCCTTCCAAAAGGTTTTCAGACTTTCTTTTCATATTGAGGGCTTTGAAACTGTCTGAAATGTTTTCTGTACAGTATAAAGTAATGGCGAGTTTGTACACCTCCCAAGTCAGCCTCAGGAATACCCCATCATGCTGTTCATGCTACTGATAGACTGCTGTGTATTGGGGAAGGGGTGACTAAAGGGAACAGGCCATCCCAAAATCTTAAGTCACGTGGCTTGTCCTTCTGTTGAACCATTCATCCTAACACAGGTCTGGTATGCAGAGATCCCGGATGCCAATTCGTGGTCAGCCACCCACTTGCTATGTGACCCTGGGCAAGTTCTGCTGTGCTTCTACTTGGGGGATAGGTGACAGTCTCAGACTATATCTGCTGGCTTCTCTCGGACTGCTCCCCGTTCCTGGGGCCTTGACCCTCATACCTTCCCTCCTCAACCAGAATGTGAGACAACCACACTGCTGAAGCCCCAGCTGTGAGGGCCAATGAGAAACACCGAGTTGCTCTTGGAACATGCTTGGAACACAGCACCTCGTCCCAGGCTCAGCCTGTTGGGTTGTTCCTCCCCCCATCCCCCCCCACCCCCAGAGACTGAGAGATCCAGCTAAGTCCTACTGAAAACTAGCTTTTCTCTCCCCTTAATCCTGAGCCCTCTTACAGGTGTGCTCACAGAAGACGTGGAGGGAGATGCCCCCAGCCTACGCCCTGGAGCTGCTGACCATCTACGCCTGGGAGCAGGGTTGTGGGAAGGATGCCTTTAGCTTAGCCCAAGGCCTCCGAACCGTCCTGGGCCTGATCCAACAGTATAAGAGCCTGTGTGTTTTCTGGACCATCAACTACCACTTCAAGGACCCTGCAGTTAACAGGTTCTTGCAGCACCAGCTTGAGAGACCCAGGTACCCCCTAGGACCCCACCACCTGCTCTCCTGTGCCTGAGCCATGGGGACATAATTAACAATGATAAAACAGGTCGTATTTACCGAGGGCCAAAACCAAATGCTACATGTGCACTTCCTCATTCAGCGGCTTTAGCCCCAGATGAAGTCAGAATCACTTGGGGGAGTTTAAAATATATATATTACATGTTTGGGGTATGAACTTTTAGTGACATATGAGCATGCCCATCCCAAGTGCACATTTTGGCGACTTTCTATGAAATAAACATGCCTGTAAAACCACCACCAGATCAAGGTAGAATATTCCAGCACCCCAGGAGCTTCCTGTGAGCCCCTCCCAAAAGTCACCCCATTCTGACTGTTGTCATTACCATTCTGTTTTTAAATTTTATTTATTTATTTATTTATTTATTTATTTATTTATTTATTTTATTTTATTTTTTTTTAGCTGAGCCATCCTGCCACCTGTTGGCAGCTCAGAGGCTGCTCAGCTCGGGCTGACTCGAACCGCTGTTGCTCAGAGCTCAAACTCTTGAGCGAGCTCTTAACCAACTGAGCCACTCAGCCGGCCCCTTAAATTTTATTTAAATGGAATCATACCGCATGTACTTTGGCATCTAACGTCTTGTTTCAGCGCTGAGCCTTTGAGATTCATCCATACAGTTTTGTGTAGTTGTGGTTCATTCTCTTCCATTGCTGAATAGTATTTCGTTGAGTGAATTTATCACAATACGTTTTTTTGGGGTTTTTTTTAGATTTTCATTGGGGAATTGGGGGGATGGGAACAGTGCTGGGGAATTGGGGGAAGGGGAACAGACAAGTGGCTGTTGTTTTGTTCTTCAGTCTAGTTGTGGAGGATTTTGCTTCACTGGCCCAAGTTGGCACCATCATTGCGCTCTTCCCGGGCGAGGCAGATCAGTCGCCGGCTTCTGGACAACCGCTCACTGCGGCTGCTGGCCGCTCACGCTGGCTGCTGGCTACACACGGTAGCCCATGGCAACCCACTGCCACAGGGGCTGCAGCCTACGCCATCGCCAGCGACTCACGGCAGCCCAGCTCCAAGTTGAGCTGTTGTTCAGCATCTTAGCTGTGGAGGGCAGTGTCACTGGCCCTCATATGTGGGATCCAAGCCGGGGCCCTCTGGCGTCCCAAGCCAGTTCTTAACCATCGCGCCACTCGGCCGGCCCCACAATACGTTTTTTATTCTGCTCATGATGCACATTGGGGTTGTTTCCACTCCTGGACTATTACAAAGAGGGCTGTGAAAAACGGCCTTGTATTTCAGTGCGTCCGCATATGTGCTGGACTTATATCTAGGAATGAAATTGCTAAGTCATAGAGTGACTCAGAGATACCAAGGGTGGGTCTTGGTGTCTTGCGATTCTAAAGGGCAGATAGAGTTGAGGACCGTTGTTCCCATTTAATCTCCACCACAGCCCATCAAATCAGGCATTGTTGTTATCCTCATTTTGAGAATGGGAAACTGAGGCTCAGAGAAGCAAGTCCTCTGCCTCAGGTCACACAGCTGGAAAATGGCAGAGTTGGAATTGGAGCCAGGTCGGCTTGACCCCAGGGCTCCGGATCTTGACCATGTTGCTAACCAGAATCTTCTTATCCCTCTGGATTTGCAGGCCTGTGATCCTGGACCCAGCTGACCCCACGTGGGACGTGGGGAACGGGGCTGCCTGGCACTGGGATCTGCTGGCTCAAGAGGCTAAGTCCGGCTATGACCGCCCGTGCTTTCTTCAGGCAGCAGGGGGCGCTATGCCGCCCTGGGAGGTGCCAGTGAGTGAGGGCCTTCCAGGATCGTTGGGTTTTACACCTAATTTATGTGCTCAGGGTTTCCTGAGCATCTCCTGTACCCTGGGGGCCCTGAGGGTGTAGAACAGACTGAAAAAATGGGGACTGCAGGCATGTAAAACAATTGAATTACCAAGCCAAGCCTGTGTCTTCGTGTAGTTATTGTCGGCTTCCCAAGCTGTGTCTGCCCAGCACAAGGGGACCTTTTTATAATCTCTCCCCTCCATAAGGGCACCATTTTCTAATCTGCACGAAGGCGCCATACGGGCTACCTCCCACTTCCGCTCTCTAAGCCTCAGTCAACCTGACTATACAATGGGAGTGAGAGAAGGCACACGGAAACCCCTGCCTGTGTAAGACAGCTCCTTCCGCAAACTTCCAGGGCCTCCCACGCGCCCGGTGCTCAGGTTTGGATCACCACATCCCGCAAGACCCTGTCCAGAAGACCCCCAAGGACAGCGGCAGTCTGGATGCTGTGCACCCAAGGACAGGGAGCAGGCAGCCCCCGTTCCCAGCTCCTGCCCGCTCCACACCTGGGATGGTCTTGGATCTGTCTCAGATCCCCGCCAAGGAGCTGGACCGCTTCATCCAGGACCACCTGAAACCAAGCCCGCAGTTCCAGAAGCAGATGAACAAGGCCATCGATGTGATCCTGTGCTGCCTCCGCGAGAAATGTGCCCACAAGGCCTCGAGAGTCAGCAAGGTGAGCCAAGCAGACGGAGACACCGCTGAGACCGTTATTGGGGGTACCACAGTGGGGAAGGGAAGGAGTCACAGCAACGCAGCTGAGGACAGGCAGGGGAAGTGGACATCCCCGGAGGGTAGTGTGCTGGCTGGAGGTATATATTTAAATGCCAGCTTTTTTTTTTTTTTTTTAATGATACAATTTTTTTTAAACCACTACTACCGTAATCAGATCACTTCCCTTCTCAGCTCAAAATCCTCAGGGCCTGTAGGACCTGGCCTTGGTCTCTCTCTGACCACTTACTCCATACTGGCCATCTATCTGGCTGCTTCTTGAACTCATCAGGTACACATCTCCACTGCATCTGCAGACCCCATTTGGCCTTGGAACATCAGTTTGCAACCTGTGGTGTAGAGGTGCAATCAGTGGGTGCTACAGATGTTTGGCCAAAATCTTTGCTCACTGTCCCCACTTCACCCCCCAACCCGCTCCCCATTATCTGTTGCCACATATTGTCTGACTTTTGCAGGCTTCGGACCAGAAGGCAGATACAGGCAGATACAGTCGGATTCTGCCAGGCTTCTAACAGTCATAGGCCACAGGGTTTGTTCGGTCTGCGCCTGTCATGCTGCCCCCAAACCCAACAGCAGTGAGAGCAGTATCAGGTGGGGCTGCTGGTGGGGTCACAGTCCAAGGCTCCGAGAGAGTCGCTGGTCTGAGATGTTCTTTCCTCTACAGGGAGGCTCATTCGGCCGGGGCACCAACCTCAGGGGTGGCTGTGATGCTGAACTCGTCATCTTCCTCAACTGCTTTGAAAACTACAAAGACCAGGGGGCCCTCCGTGCAAAGATCCTTGATGATATGCGGGCACAGCTGGAATCCTGGTGGCGGGATCCAGTCCCTGGCCTGAGCCTCAAGTTTCCAAGCCAGACGGTGCCCAAGGCTTTGCAATTCCAGCTAATGTCCACGGTCTTAAAAAGCTGGATGGACGTCAGCCTGCTGCCCGTCTTTGATGCCGTGGGTGAGGGGTGCCCAGCCTGTGCCGTGTCTCCAATAGGGATCCTAGGGGACCAGGGAAATAATGGGGTGCTTGCAATCCTTTTTGTGATCCTAATTCCCCTACTTCGTTAAGCATTGAAAACTACTGTGAGATACCTAAAGTAGTCATCATTATCAGTTCTTAACTATTTAGTGCTTTTCAATTTATAAAAGTTTTAATTCTAAAATGTTTCAAACATACAGAAAACTATAGCCATCACACACCCATGCACACCAATTATGATTTAACAAATGTTAACAATTCTCCATAGCTGCTTGGGACTTTTTTCCCCTCATCCCCCACTACGGAATTATATGTTGAAATTTCCTTCTTTATTTTGAAGGGTTTCCTTTATGGTTAATTTTCTAGCTTTTTGAGCTGACTCTTAGCTTAGTAATTATCAGTCTTAATAAATGCAATTAAGGCTAGACATTCCCTCTAAAGTGCCACTTTAGGGCCACAGCAAATGTTTTAGATGTATACTTTTTATTAGCACTCAGGTCTTAATATTTTATAGTTTTAATTATGACATTATGATTTGTTCTTTCATCCATGAATTTTTGGAAGTGGGTTTCCAAATGAATGTTTTGGGGGTTTGTGTGCTTTGGGCATTTGTTGCTTTTTTTCTATTTTTTCAATTAATTTTTCCTGTTACAGTTGATATATAATACAATATTGTATTAGTTTCAGATGTTCAACATAGTGATTAGACATTTATATTTTTACAAAGAAAATATCCCTGTGTGATATCAATCCTTTGGAATTTGTGGGCACTTCCTAAGTGTCCCATGTTTGCAAAGAATGCACGCTTTCCATTGTTGAATGCAAGCTTCTCTATAGATTCTTTAGATGTAGCTTACAATCTTTGTTCAGATCCGTGTTACTTACTTTCTGCTTATTTGGTCTATCAATTTATGAATGGGGTATCTTCAAGTCTCCTGCTCTGAATGGAGATTTGTCATTTTTTCCTTGTAATTCTGAAAAGTTCTGGTTTTAATATTTTGAGACTATGTTATTAAGAAACGTGTAAGTACATAATTACATTTTTTTCTTGGATTGTTCCTTTTATCATTAAGTAATAATTCTCATTATTTCTAATTCGTAGAGTTGTACTGGTCTTTCGAGAATGTTTTTCTGGCATTCTAACATACAAGACACTAACACTAAGGAAGATTCTTTTTTTTCTTCATTTTTTTTAACTTTATTGGGGAACAGTGTGTTTTTCCCAGAGCCCATCAGCTCCAAGTCAAGTTGTTGAGCCCGTCAGCTTCAGTCTTAGTTGTGGAGAGCGCAGTTCAGCTTCAAGTCCAGTCGCTGTTTTCAATCTATTTGCGGGGGGCACAGCCCACCATCCCATGCGGGAATCGAACCTGCAACGTTGGTTTTAAGAGCATGCCCTCTAACCAACTGAGCCATTCGACTGCCCACCAGCAGCTCAGCTCAAGTGGTCTTCAATCTAGGAGGGCGCAGCTCACTGGCCTATGTGGGAATCGAACCAGCAACCCTGTTGCTCAGAGCTTGCGCTCTAACCAACTGAGCCACCCAGCTGCCCCGAGATTATTATTTTTTTCTTTTGTTTTTTTATTTTGTTTTGCTTTTGTTTCTTTACAGCCTGTGCAAATTAAAATCTATGAACATAATTGGCAATATTTTTTCCCCTCACCATTGCTTCTTAATTTCCAGTTCTTCCTGCTGCATTCATTTCCTTCTTACGAAAATACATCCTGTAGTACTTTTTCAGAAAGGTTGATGAGTGATCAGTTTTCTCAGGCTTTGTCTAAAATCCTTTCTGTTTCAGCTTCACTCTTGGAGGAAATGTTGGACAGTTGTTTTCCTCTGTTTATGATGTCTTCTGGCCTCTATGGTTGCTGATGAGAAGTGGGCTGTCTGTTTATTTCATTGTTGATGATGATAATGATGATGATAATGATGATGATGATGATGATGATGATGGTGATGATGGTGATAGTGGTGGTGTGTGTATGTGTATATTTTCTTTTTGGGTAGCTTTTAAGACTTTCTCTTGTCCATAGTATGCTTCAGTTTCTGATATATCTGTATATAGATTTTTATTATTATTATTATCATACTGTTTGAAATTTGTTGTGCTTCCTGAATCGGATAACTCAATTCTTCCTTTAGTTTTGGGAAAATGTCTCCCAATATCGCTTGGAATATTGCCTCTCCCATGTTTTCTCCATCCTCTGCTTCTCGAACTACTGTTACATCACTTCATCCTCCATTTCTCTTCACCTCTCTCAGATTTCCCATCTCTCTATCTGTCAGAGCTGCCAGCTGCTTAGTTGCTCAGATCTATCTTCCAGTTTACTCTCTTCAAATGTGTTTAAGCTGCTACCTATCCTTAAGTTTTAATAAATCCCAACGACTTTATTTTTCACTTGCAGAAGTTCTATTTAGCTATTTCTCAAATCAACCTGTTATTTACTCATAGGCTCCTATTCTTTCACTGTGGTTTCAGTCTCTTTTATCTCTTTAATTATTTTAAATATGCTTGTTTTTGTCTCTCAGATTGTCTTATTTTCTCAAATTCCTGAAGTGTTCATTCTCCTCTTTGTTGTGTTGCCTGAGTCTCCCTCAGGGTGGATCATTTCCTCATGTGGTTTGTAATTTTTTATTGTGAGCTCATCTCTGGGGTACGTGAAGCATTTTTTTTTTTAGCTGAGCCATCCTGCCACCTGTTGGCAGCTCAGCGGCAGCTCAGCTGGGCTGGACTTGAACCGCTGTTGCTCAGAGCTCAAACCTTTGAGCAAGCTCTTAACCAACTGAGCCGCTCGGCCAGCCCTTGGGGTATGTGAAGCTTTTATATCCTTTCCTTTTCCTGTGGAAGTTCCTTCTGCTCTCTGTTGGAGAAATATCCTCAGGGCACCATGTTTTTATTTTGCTTCTAGCTGAGCTCCAAGAGTTTCACTAATTCCTAGGCCAGTCTTGCATCAATTTAATAGCCTGGGATTTCCTTACTATGCACATACTGTTAATTTGGATCTCACATCTGCATTGGGATCTCAGTTTCTCATGGGGGAACTTTTCTTCCCACCCGCTCCCACCCAGAGCCCTGACAGCAAGCTTCGTTGAAGCCTCTGTTAGTGGGTGACCTAATTTTAATCACTTTTCATGGAGAAGGCATTTATTCCAGAGTGCCAGCCTTATGAAAGAGAAGGGTGGGACTCATTCCAGTTTCTTCTCTATGCTTTGTTTTTCTCTTCTGGGAGATAATATTAATAATAGCAACAGTTAATGCTTATTGAGCTTTGGTCTAAGCACTTTATATGTAGATTTCATTTGATTCTTACCATAGGCTTATGAGGTAGATGTTATTTATTATCTCCCTTTTATAGATAAGAAAACTGAGACTCGAAGAGGCAAAGTCACACAGCTAGGATTTGAATCCAGGCCTCTCTATCTCCAAAGCTCATTGTCTTAACCACTTTCCTACACAGCTTGTTTGGGTTCAAGATTACCCACCTTGCAGAGTTATTGAATGGGTTAGTGAAAATTACTGAAAAGCGCCCAGCACATAGTTGGTGCTAAGAAATAATAATAGTCCTGATTGTTATTCTGTGTTATAGATTGTGTGTGATTGATGGCAAGGTTGCATAATTAATGTTAAAATATTAAAGGCTGGAGAGTGGCTGGGTTGGGAAATGCTGCTGTCTCCAATTAGAATTGCGCACTCAAAATGTTTCAAACATCCACAGGACAGCTCAGCTCTGGCGCCAAGCCTGAGCCCCAGGTCTACTCAACGCTCCTCAACAGTGGCTGCCAAGAGGGCGAGCACGTGGCCTGCTTCTCAGAGCTGCGGAGAAGCTTTGTGAACATGCGCCCAGCCAAGCTGAAGAACCTGATTCTGCTAGTGAAGCACTGGTACCATCAGGTGAGGCCTCCATACCCACTTGCTTCTCCCAGGAAGCAGTTGCTGTCATGGCAATTGCGTCAGCCAATCAGCTCCTCCCCTATGCAGACAGCGCCCCCCACCCCCTTCGCTTTTTATTGGCCATCCCAAGCGGAATGCCCTCCTCCTCCTCCATCCTTCATATCCTGCTCAGACATGGAAGCTCCTAGCTGAGAGAGAATCTTGTCTTCAAAAAAGTCAAAGAACCTCATTACTTGTGGGGTTCACAGCCCCTCTCTAGCCACCTGTTTCTCTTCTCTCCTCACATGGCGAATGCTTTCCTTGTTCTTTCTCACCTTCAAGCCTTTGCTTATACTGTTCCCCAATCATCATCATCTTTGCAAGTTGTGCTAAATCCTGAGCATTCTTCAAAGCTCCCTCACTAAACACTTCTCTGGGTGCCAGCTCGCATTCGTGCACTCATCTATTCAACAAACATCTACTGAGCGCCCACTGTTGCTAACTGCTGTGATGGGTGTTGGGATACCAAGATGAATATGTTGCAGCCCCCATTCCTGTACATCTACCCCATATACCCTTTGAGGAAAGACTCTAGGCAAAGACCAAGTCTGAGCTTCTTGGTCTCACTGTGTAACCTTGGACAAGTCACTGTTCCCCTCTGGACCTCAGTTTATCCACCTGCAAAATGGGAAGAGTGAGCCAAGCCATGCCTAAGGTTCCATTCTTTCTGTGGTTTCATTTTTTATATACCCCGCCTTCTCCATGTGCTTAGCACCTGACACCCACTGATTCTTTGATTGGCCTTGGGTGATCTAGGTTGCAGCTCAAAACAAAGGAGAACGGCCAGCCTATGCCTCCCTGCCCGCAGCCTACGCCCTGGAGCTTCTGACCATCTATGCCTGGGAGCAGGGCTGTGGAGAGGACCGTTTCAACATGGCCCAAGGCCTAAGGACCGTCCTGGGGCTTGTCCAGAAGCACCAGCAGCTCTGTGTCTTCTGGACAGTCAACTATAGCTTTGAGGACCCAGCTCTCACAACGCACCTTCTTGGCTAGCTTCGGAAACCCAGGTGCAGACCCACTACGTCATTTCCTGCCCTGCGTCATCATTCTCTTCCACTGTCACCCTGGAGTCATTGTATCCAGGAGGGGGTCCAGGGTGGGGTTTGGGTGCCCCAGCTCTACTCCTCACTCTGCTTCCTTCTGGACTCTTCGCTGAGGAAGCACGGACATGGAGGCCCCCAAGGAAGCCAAGGCCAATTTCCTGAACACAATACAATACCGTATCTCAAATAAAGGGCCACCCAATAGCAGGGACCCGACTGCACTTGGGCAAGATGGGGGCAGCCCTAAGGTCCTGACACTCTGTTCCCTCTCCCCAACCCCCATGCCCCTTCCCCGTCTCTCCTACTGCCCCGCTCCTTCGCTGGTTCCCACCTTTCCCACCTGCCTGTCCACCCACTCTGCCCCCCAGGCCCCTGGTCCTGGACCCTGCCGACCCCACCTGGAACGTGGGCCAGGGTAGCTGGGAGCTGTTGGCCCAGGAAGCGGCAGCTCTGGAGATGCAGGCCTGCTTGATGGGTACAGAAGGGACGCCTGTGCAGCCCTGGGATGTGATGGTAAGAGGCGGGTCCTGGAGGCGGCGGACACTGTTTTTTTTTTTTAGCTGAGCCATCCTGCTACCTGTTGGCAGCTCAGCGGCTGCTCAGCTTGGGCTGGACTCGAACCGCTGTTGCTCAGAGCTCAA